GCCGTGATCTATTCACTATTTGGAGTTCGTGTTCTTTCTCCCCGTGGTCGTGTAGATTTTCCTCTGCGTGGTCCGGTTTTTCCCTCTCCACATTTAGATTCAACATCACGCGTTTAGAGCGTTTGGCTGCCATAACATTTGCACGTAATAATTGGGCTTTCATTTGTGATAGCCTGGTCGCTTCTGAAAAATATCTATACAGCTCAGTGGGCCTTGACAGGTATGACTGTGAATAGTTTATTGGTTTTTATACTTTATAGTTTACTTCGCCGTCGGTCTCGACTCTCGTTCATTATTCCTTCTGTCGACGCGTCCTACCGCCAGGTCCACGCTTACTCTTCTAACTCTGCGTTGTTAACCCTTTCCCATTCCGATGACGTATGTGTACATGTACGTCATCGGAACGTAACCGGAACAAAAACTAAAATAAAATGACCTTATCGGTACACCGAGGCTCCCACAAGCCCATGCGGGAGAGCTTGCGGCACAGTTTGGCGCCGGCTATCGTAGAGTAGCGGCGGTCGTGCCGCTATGGTTCTCCGCGGTGAGTAACGACTTCTTTAAAAACAACGGCGCTGCTGCTACGGCGACGGGGACACGCACCACCCTGCAACTTGCAGATGTCTCGGAAACGGCAAAGGGGTTAAATGCCATTGCACATTCCCGCGGCACCACACAACACTTCAGTGGCTCCTAAATGGCCGAGAAGCGGTACTCAATTCGATTAAAGCCCCCTAACGCCTTTTGTCTCTAACCCACTGGACGGTCGGCCACTCGTGCCGTGAAGAGGTGACCCACTCGACACGTATTCATCTTGCACCCCCCCCCACCCCGCGCCGTCCAGACATTGTCACCGCGATCGTTTGTGCAGAGCGTTTGTAAGTGTTCTCCGATAAGGTCGGGTGCATTCTTGCGTTCGCCGGCGACGTGTTTTACATCAATACGATGGCAGTAATGTGACAGCGGCGACGACGATGATGATGATGGCGACAATGACGACGACAAATGATGACGACGGCGATGACAACGGCGATGACGACAACGAGTCATGTTTGAGGCATCAATGGGGGCCAAGGAGGGAGGGACGGGGGGTCTAGTGTGGTCGGCCACAGATGCACGCGCGTAAAAAAATAGACAGCAAACACGCCAGGGACGTCGAAGTTTATTGAAACACGTGGCGTAGTCTGGTGGTTAAAAATATAAAACGTTTGTAACAATTGTTGTACATTGCGTTGTGTCTAGCGCTGGTGTCAATTACCCACACATGCCCTCTTGTGTGTTGTACCTTGAATAGTTTGTTCGATAAAATGATGGACCGCAGCGCGCCCGCCGCCAAACACACGCCGCGAGATTTGATTTGCGGTTCAACAGAAACCGGACGCCACGCGTGTTGGGCTCGTCTGCCTCTGTTCTTTCGGCTGAGAGTCTCACTGCCAGCAGTTCGCTGCTTACTGCCAGGGGGAACCGGGGATCGGAGACATCCCCGGGTGTGAATTGGGGTGACCACCCCGGGCCCCGCACTTTGGGGGGCGCCCCCCGCGCTTTGGGGGGTTACCCTCCCCCCCTCGCGCTTCGACGGTCACGGTGTCAGATGTAATACTTACGGTTTAGTTTGAAGGTGTCGGGGGTGGGGGGGTCAACGCGGTGTGGCATGCCCTGGGTCCCACACCCCCCTATGGACGGGCCCTGCCTGGGATAAACCCTGAATGTGCGGCGTGGCGATCACTCGCTCGCTTGCAGCCAAAGTCCCCCCTTTAGAAGAGGTGGCGAGATGTTAACTGCTTCGCCTGGTATATAGGAGGTTGTGGGTTAGATACTGACCCTGATGCCTGTCGTATATTTGGAGTTTGCATCTGTCTATCTCTCTCCCCGTGGTCGCATTGATTTTTCTCCGGGTCGTCCGGTTTTTCCCCTCCACATTTTAGAATCCACGTCACGTGTTTAGAGTATTTTGCTGCGATACATTTTCACCGAATAAGCCACTTAATTGGGCTATCATTTGTGGCTAGATCGCTTGTTAAAAAGAGCTAAATTGCTCAGTGGGCTTTACCTGGTAAAATAAAAATAGTTTTTATAGTTTACTTGGTGGTGAGATGTTAACTGCCTCACTTGGTATACAGGAGATCGTGGGTTCGATCCCGACCCCCAACGCCTGTTGTATATTTGGAGTTTGCGTTGTCTCTCTCTCTCTCCCCCCGTGGTGGCGTGGATTTTTCTCCAGGTCCTCGGGTTTTTACAGACTTGATTCCTTACAAAAGGTGTCGTTGGTTTTTAAACATCTTAACAACTGCTGTTTTATTGCCAGGAAGGGGAAAAAACTATTATTACTTTTTTATCTATTATTATCATTTATTAAATCGGACTTTTGAGCGGACTCGCAAATTGCTTATTCAGGACGACACAGAGCGGCAACATCGCCTCTGTCACTGCAACAAAAAAACTTGTCAGGACCCACCTTGGTTCTTTCGGTAAAGTCACGTAGAAGGGAAATAATAAAATAATAAAAATATCAAACAGTACAAATTCTCACGACGTTTCAACTGCAACAAAAAGCAATCATCATCAGGTGTGAAATCCACAGTGAAATCTACAGCAAGAATTTTTTCTTGCCGTGGATTTCACACCGGATGATGATTGTTTGTGTTGCAGTCGAAACGTCGTGAGAATTTGTATTGTTTAATATTTTTGTTATTTAATTATTTCCTTTCTACGTGACTTTACCGAATATGAATCCATGCAGTCACGAAAGCTTTAAATCAAACGAGTTTAAAGAAAATAATAATAATTTTATCATCATTGATATGACTTCAGAAGCAGCTGTGATCAACGTCAATTTCCCCACGGGTCGATCTCTTGACACAAGGCTGCCGGAAGTTGCTAAACTGAAGGGTGGTGGGGGCCAACACTCCGTCGATGCGACGTCGGCAACGCAACGGGGAATCTTTTGGCGGCGAGAGGGAGGGTAAAAAAAAAGGTTGGAGGGGGGGGGGGCCTTCGATGCAAAAACCCATTTTTTTGAGAGGCCAAATGGGAGACGTGGCTCTGAAACGTCGGTGGCTCGGACCGAGATGAGCCTTGCCGGCAGGATACATTGTGGGGTTGGACCGGGATCATCGCCGGTGGGTTAAGGCCATAGGCCGAGTGGCAGCCAAAAGAAAGGGGAGCTGCAGTCGATGGTCGATTACACTGGTCAACACACTTTTTCTGGCATAAGGTATTCCAACGGTTTTAAGGTCATTTGGGGTGCTGATTCCAATATTTGAGATATCAAATATTACATTTTCAATATAAACTGCAAAAGAAAAATATTAAATAAATGTGGATATCTACATAAAATTATATTATAAACGCACTATCCTAAAAATACAGCACCATATTTTAACACTAAAGCAGTCACTGACTCGCAACAACTTGCAATCATGGCAGAGTTAATTTCGGGTAAAATCAATGAAAATGGGGTATGCCGATAACATAATAAGTATAACCCGTAAAAACTAAGTTTTTCACTATAAATCCTTTATATGCGTGGCGGCTCGAGTCCTCTCGTCCTCTGGCTTGAGATGGCTGCCACCTATGGGTCAGATGATTGTCTGCCAGTATTAAGCAATTGGTAATTAAATATTTAATTTGTTTTCCCTAAACAGTGTAACATTTTGGAAAAATAATTTCACAAACATTAATTGTCTCGCACAACGAGTCTGTGCAAAATGTCAGCTCGATTGGATCACGGGAAGTGGGTTAAAAAACGACCGAAAGATTTGCACGGTCGTAAGCAAGCAAGCAAGTGAACTTAATATAAAGGATTTAAAAATGAGATGTGATAGAGTAAATCTGAGATCCGATTTGGAATCGGCACCCTGAAATTAGTTTAAAACAGCTGCAAAAGTCCAGGCCAGAAATTTTGTTGTTGTTGACCAGTGTTATCCGACGGCTTCGAAGGGGCGGTGGGGGGGGGCACCGGATAAAAAAAAAACGCCGGATAATCACTGCTCATCATTATTTAAAATAGCTAAATAGCTTATTGTAAATTCTTGCATGACATTAGGTTTTTAGGTGTTGTTATGTTTTTTTTAGTTTTAAATGTGTGTTGCTATGTGAAATTGACATAAACAAACATACAAAGAGACAAAGATAAATACGCTACTTTAAATAGTTACTGCATTTACTGTGCCATACTTACCACTCCAATCTCGAAGCCTCTGCATGGGGTGATGTATATACAGTATTTTCATTCAGTTGTATGTAGTCTATAATGTACTGTGTACAATATTTCACACTGAAATCAAGCATCGCTGTCACGCACATGGTGCCTATCACCGGACTGGTTAAAGCCTTTGGAGTGGTTTTGCCGGTTTCACCGGATCTTCCCGGATAATGTTGGAAGCTGTATAATCGCGTGCCGGATAATCGATGATCAACTGCATGTGTGTATATGTATGTTGAACTTCTTTAGCAACGCACGTAGCCAACCGCGCTAATCAGAAGTGTGTGGGGGGGAAGGACAACAAACTAAACACAACAACGAACGGTTCTACAGAAATGAGTTTGTCAATCTAGTTCTTGATTCATAAGTTCACAGCTCCCAGTAGCTTCCTATTATCGGAAGGAACAGTGTTCTAGACAGCCGCAGAAGCAGCGCATCTGCTGTGGTGACCGCCTCTGTTCGATTTTCCCCAAAAGCCGCTGCAAGCTTGACCGCGGTTTGCGCGAGTCGTTGCAGCAATGGGGTTACGTTAATCTACTTGAGCGCGCGAAGTCCAGAGGTCACCGCTTTGATTCCAGCTCCCGGCGCTGCAGTTGAAACAACGGCACAGGTTTCTTAACCCCCCCACCCCACGCCCATAGATCCTAATGGCTTCCTATCCCAAAGGACGACTTCTGATGGTGCGATGAGATCGGTTCACGAGCAGGAGCGTGAGCGAGGGGATGGCGACGGCGTGGGAAGGCCGTAACCACTCTGCTGCTTTGCCCCTCCCCCCCACCCCCTTCTCGTTCCGCAGGCGCCGAGCGCGGCGGCCGGCGGCCCGCGATGGACGATGGGAAGCCCGTGTGGGCGCCGCACGCCAGCGATGGCTTCCAGCTGGGAACCATCGTGGACATGGGCACTGACTCCCTCACCATCCAGCCGCTCACCGGCAAGGGGCAGGTGAGAGATGCACACCCCTGCAACAGATACACACACATGCGGGACGTTGACAGTCTCAACAACAACAACCGCAATTCGCCACTAAGTGGCATTGACGTCACCACGACGTTTGTGCCAGGCTATGAGCACGTTGAGGCCTACGTGAAGTGTCGAACGCCCGCTGGCAGGAGGTCACGGGGCAGACCCAGGTGCCACGGGTCGAATGACTTAGATGACTGAGATGACTGGCTGATGCACCACCTGTGCCCCCTACTGTGCCAACTTGCTGTGCTTTAGCCACGCGGCGCTCCGCTCGTTGTTGTGAGCGTCGCTCCTCCGCCCTCCGTTGTTGTTGGAGGGCGACTGCCTCCAACTGCCCAGTAGCGTCCTTCACGAGCCTCCTCCATAGAGGCTGATCTTGACACCGCTGGTACCAGTCATCGGCAAGTCCACTCAGCTCCACATCCTCCTGTACCACATCACTCCATCTCTTCTCTAGCCCGTGCCATGCCCGTTTAGCCCCCTCCATCTGGCCAAACAAAAGCTGTTTAGGCATGCAGTGGCTGGGCATGCGGGCTACATGACCCAGCCAACGCAGCCTTGCCTGCCGGAGGAGCTCACAAATGGGACTTTGTCCAGATCTTTCAATGATTTGTGACCTCCTCACACAATCCAGCCTGGTTAAACCCAGGATGGATCGTAGGCAGGACAGCCTAAATGTTTCTCGCATCCGCTGATCCGTCACTATGTAGTCTAGCAGATGTTCTTGCTTGGACCCGGCATGCATCCATGATGTTGTGTGGATGCGCCGATGCCGGAACAGCGTGTTGGTAATTAGAAGCCCATGGGCTGCACAAAAATCTAGTAGCCTCCTGCTGTTGTTATTGAGCTAATCTGGCCCATGCCTTCCAATCACTCCAGACCAGGTGCCAGCATCATGACCAACTCGGAAATTGAAGTCATCCAACAAGATGACCCTATCCCGAGGGTCCACTTTAGCCAGCACCTGTGACAGGAGGTTATGGAAGGCATCTGACTCATCGGCCTTTCCTGCATCCCTCCACGGATGTTCGTCTTCGGTGGGGGCATAAGTAACCACGACTACCACTCCTCGCCTCTGGTTGATGGGAAGGCGAGCCCAAAGTAGCCTGGGGCTGACAGCTTCCCACACCTCACCGCCAGGTTCCCACGCCCCCTTCATTCTTTTGTTCAGACGAAGAGCTCTTCGTCTGTGGGAAGCTGTCAGCCCCATGCTACTTTGGGCTCGCATTCCCATCAACCAGAGGCGAGGAGTGATGGTCGTGGTTACTTGTTTGGTAGTCTCCTGCCCTCAGTAGAGGACTGTCCAACCCTCATGGTGGCAGGAGCCAGAGCCAGTCCACCGGACTTCCTGAATACCACAGAGATCCAGGCGGTACTGATCCAGCTCCTGACAGAGGAGTGGCAGCCTCTCCTCCGCAGTGAGCTTTCGAATATTCCTTTTTTCCATCCATAGTGGCTTTTTGTTATTTCTGGAGGAGCCCCGAGGATAAGGATTCAGTCTCCTGGCTACGCCAAATGGGGTTGGGGCCAGGAGACGGCATAGACGCCTGTCCCCCTGGGGCCTCCGGTACAAGTTTAATTATTTTTTAAATCGTAGTTTGGTGGTAGTTAATTGAAGGTGGAGGGGTTAGCTGCCCCTCGCACCTGTCCAGAGCCCCCATTTGGCCGCTGTGGTGGTTACAGCCGCCATAAAGGGAAAGGCCAATCTATGTTTGCCCTCCCCCCACGGCACTGCCCACCACAGAGTTGCCGTCCGGCACCACGAGGAGGTAGGGGGTTGTTTTTGCCGGACACAGTCTCAACACACACACACTCACACAAATTGATAGTTTCAACACACACACACTCAACACATCAACAGTCTTGGCACATTGAAATTCTCAACACACACACACACACTTGGCACACTCTGCACACACGTACTTACAAACCCTTCGCAGACTGTTGGGGCAAGTGCTTTTAGCGAGTAGCACCTAAGAAGGCCGGCATGGCACACAAGGGGGTGGGTGGCCAGCACCACGCCCGGCTGCCTTTGTCTCTCGAGTAGCAATGTTTACACACTACACAAAGTACTTATTTGAGGCTGACTCGAACCAGGGGAGGCCTATGACCGGTTCAGATAATCATCACTGGTGTTGGCCGTGAGCGGGAATTGAACGCGGGTCACCGGGTTCGGAGCGCAGCACGCAAACTGTTACGCTACCGCTCACCCACACTCACTCAACACACACACTTGACACACGTACTCAATACACACATTCGACATGCGGGCTCAATAACCACACACTCACACTCAAGGGCACTGTGACTGCCTCACCATCCAGCCAGTAGGGGTAAGGGACAGGTGGAATGCCAATCAATACGTGGGCTCAATGCACGCACTCAACGTATTGACTCAACAAAACTCACTCAACACATTCAACATGAGCCATACTTTGCGGTTTAACTGAGATTACTGGCACCGTGCTAACAGACAAAGGTCCCCCGTGTAGCCTTAACAGACTGTTGGGACAAGTGCTGTTAGCGAGTAGCACCTGTGAAGGTCATCACGGCACACGTTGGGGGGTGGTTGGCCAGCGCCATGCCAGGCTGCCTTTGTGTCTCCTGAGTGGCGATGTTTACACTCCGTACCGGGTACTCGCTTGAGGCGGAGTCGACGCAATAGCCTCACGCACACTTTGACGCAAACTCGCACACACTCACACACTCCACACAAAGTCCCACTCGCACGCACCACAATCTCTGACACCGAATCGCCCATGAATTCATTCACACTCCCACACACACACCACACGAACTTACACACAAGCTCAGCCTTCGCCTCCACCTACTACCCTGTACACGCCCGACGTGAACTGGGGTATTTCTGTTAAAGTATTCCCTCTTTATTCACGAACTCGCTATCCGCGATTTTGGCTGCCCGCGAATTGCGTTTGGAACTCTCTACACGACTATGGCATCGAGAGAGAGAGGGAAAAAAATAAAGTGATGAGAGATAAAGTGATGAGAGATAAAGTGATGAGAGATAAAGTGATGAGAGATAAAGTGATGAGAGATAAATTGTTGAGAGATAAAGTGATGAGAGATAAAGTGATGAGAGATAAAGTGACGAGAGATAAAGTGACGAGAGATAAAGTGACGAGAGATAAAGTGACGAGAGATAAAGTGATGAGAGATAAAGTGATGAGAGATAAAGTGATGAGAGATAAAGCGATGAGAGAGATAAAGTGATGAGAGATAAAGTGATGAGAGATAAAGTTATGCGAGATAAAGTTACGCGAGATAAAGTGATGAGAGATAAAGCGATGAGAGAGATAAAGCGATGAGAGATAAAGCGATGAGAGATAAAGTGATGAGAGATAAAGTGATGAGAGATAAAGTGATGAGAGATAAAGTGATGAAAGATAAAGTGATGAGAGATAAAGTGATGAGAGATGAAGTGATGGGAGATAAAGTTATGCGAGATAAAGTGATGAGAGATAAAGCGATGAGAGAGATAAAGTGACGAGAGATAAAGTGACGAGAGATAAAGTGACGAGAGATAAAGTGACGAGAGATAAAGTGACGAGAGATAAAGTGACGAGAGATAAAGTGGTGAGAGATAAAGTGATGAGAGATAAAGTGATGAGAGATAAAGTGATGAGAGATAAAGTGATGAGAGATAAAGTGATGAGAGATGAAGTGATGGGAGATAAAGTTATGCGAGATAAAGTGATGAGAGATAAAGCGATGAGAGAGATAAAGTGACGAGAGATAAAGTGACGAGAGATAAAGTGACGAGAGATAAAGTGACGAGAGATAAAGTGACGAGAGATCAAGTGACGAGAGATCAAGTGACGAGAGATAAAGTGGTGAGAGATAAAGTGATGAGAGATAAAGTGGTGAGAGATAAAGTGATGAGAGATAAAGTGATGAGAGATAAAGTGATGAGAGATAAAGTGATGAGAGATTAAGTGGTGAGAGATAAAATTATGAGATGAAGTGATGAGATAAAGAGATGATAGAGAGAGAGAACTTCTCGACGCTTTAGAAGCATCTGCAGACGTTGCGTGCGTACGATATGTGGAGGCCAACATCAATATCCGCAAAATGTTTCTATCCACGAGCATCTCCGGGAACGTACCCCTGGCGAATAACGACGGAATACTCAACGTGCGTATGTACTTTGAATTCACTAATCGGAGGATGGGTGAGTGTGTGGGTGAGTGCCTATGCGAGTCTATGTATGTTGAACTTTGATCGCACCGTACGTCGCCAACCGTGCTGGATCGGAGGATGGGTGAGTGACTATGTGAGTTTATGTATCTGTATTCTTAGGTTTTTCGGTAAAGTCACGTAGGTAAAACATTTATTTATTTATTCTATATTATTTTACTTTTATTAATTTTAATGTTTTACCTACGTGACTTTACCGAAAAACCTAAGAATATGAATCCTTGCAGTCACGAAAGCTTCAAATCTAAAATCTATGTATCTGTGTGTCTAACTTTTTTCACACCGTGCACAGTCAAATGTGCTAATCCGAGGATAGGTGAGTGTGTGGGTGAGTGACTTTGTCAGTGGGTGGGTGAGTGACTATGTGAGTGGGTGAGTGTGTGGCTGAGTGACTATGTGAGTGGGTGGGTGAGTGACATTGTGAGTGGGTGAGTGACTATGTGAGTGAGTGACTATGTGAGTGGGTGAGTGACTGTGTGCGTCTATGTATATTTCACTTCTTTCGCACTGTACGTAGCCAACCATGCGAATCGGAGGATGGGTGTGTGGGTGAGTGAGTGAGTGGGTGAGTGACTGTGCGAGTGGGTGAGTGACTATGTGAATGTGTGGGTGAGTGACTATGTGAGTGAGTGACTATGTGAGTGGGTGAGTGACTGTGTGCGTCTATGTATATTTCACTTCTTTCGCACTGTACGTAGCCAACCATGCGAATCGGAGGATGGGTGTGTGGGTGAGTGAGTGACTGAGTGGGTGAGTGACTGTGTGAGTGGGTGAGTGACTATGTGAATGTGTGGGTGAGTGACTATGTGAGTGGGTGAGTGACTGTGTGCGTCTATGTATATTTCACTTCTTTCGCACTGTACGTAGCCAACCATGCGAATCGGAGGATGGGTGTGTGGGTGAGTGACTGAGTGAGTGAGTGACTGAGTGGGTGAGTGACTGAGTGGGTGAGTGACTGAGTGGGTGAGTGACTGAGTGGGTGAGTGAGTGACTGTGTGAGTCTACGTTGAACTTCTTTCGCAACGTACATAGCCAACTGTGCTGGATCAGAGGGTGCGATCGCTCCGCCGATATTTCTCCCCTTTGTTTCCTTGCAGATGTTCCAGGCCCCGTACAACCAGGTGTTCCCTGCCGAGGAGGACAGCCAGAAGAACGTGGAGGACAACTGTGAGTGCCTTGTTTGCTCGCTTTCCCCTGCACGCGTATGTATGTACGTACGAACTTTATATGTGTAGCGAATCGTGCTAACCCAGAGTCGCCGTGCGTGTGGGGGTAGCACTCACTCGAGCCTCTCGGCAAGAAGGGGCCCCAGTTCGATTCCTGACTCGGGCACCTCCTGTTTGGATGTTGTGGGTTCTTCCCCTGTTCTGTAGAGTGTGAGTGAAGAGTGTGTCTGCGCGTGTGTGAGAATGAGTGTGTGGTGAGTGAATGAGTGGGGAGTGGTAATGTTAGAAGGATAGCACGCTGCGCTATGAACCCAGTGACCCGAGTTCAATTCCCGCTCACGGCCACCAACACGAGTGATGATTATCTGAACCGGTTCTGGGTCTTCCCTAGATCGACTCAGCCTCAAACGAGTACCTGGTGCGGTGTGTTAACATCGCCACTGTGGAGACAAAGGCGGTCGGGCGTGGTGTTGGCCACCCATGCTTTCTTGTACCGTTCTGGCTTTCATTGGTGCTCGCTCCAGCTATTGCCTCAACAGTTTGTTCGGGCTATGCGGGGGTTCTTTGTCTTTGTGTCTTTAAATGAGTGTGTGGCTGAGTGAATGAGTGAGGAGTGATAATGTGGAATGATAGCGAGCTGCGCTACGAACCCGGCGAAGCGAGTTCGATTCCCGCTCACTGGCCACCAACACCGGTGACGATTATCTGAACCGGTCCCGGGCCTCCCCTGGTTCGACTCAGCCCGAAATAAGTACTTAGTGCAGTGTGTAAACATTGGTACTCGAGAGACAAAGGCGGCCGGGCATGGTGCTGGCCACCCCCTGCGAACCGTGGCCGGCCTTCACAGGTGCTCTGTTAGAGGCTTATACGGGGGGGGGGTGGATCTTTGTTTTGTTGTCACGTGGCTTGTGCAGGCGCGCTTATGTACCTGAACGAGGCGACGCTGCTCAACAACATCCGCTGTGCGCTACAGCAAGGACAAGATTTACGTGAGTTGTCCAACGCTCCGAGTTCGTCCTCCCCCTCGTCCTCCTCGTTGTTGTCCACCTCCTCCCTCCTCCTCATCTCGCCACCGGTTGCAGAGCAGCACGCAGGCCCAGAAGCCCCGAAGTGGCAAGCGGGGCGGCAACAAACGGCACTGCAATGTTTATAATCTTTATTGAGACTGCAGGGGTAGGAGGAATCCGGTGAGATATTCCGAAGCTCCTTTTTCGCAGATGTCCGGTATGGGCGGGTGGGGGTTCAGCGAGTGACGACAGAAAATAGTACAAGGAAAAGGTAAGCGAGTCGCTAAATATAAATTAATTATCCATATAAAAGAGATATGTCCGATTTGTCAAGCTTGGGCAAGGCAGCAAAAACAACAAGGTAACAGTCCCAGACCACATCAAGAGAACACACAGCAGTAGTAAGATGGCACGTGAACATTGAACTATCGATACACAGGTAAAACTATCGATACACGGGTAGTAGAAAAGGGTGTAACGCGTTTCATGAATTGGGCACGGTTATTATTATTTTTGTTACCGAGAGCTTCTGGGGGGGAAGGAAGAGACGACGATGGGCGGAGGGAATTTGGGAGTGGACCTGCGCGGAGGGAAGAATCGGAGAGAGAAGTGTGGTGAGCGGGCGAGTGAGCGGTTGAGTGGGTGAGTAGGGGAGTGAGTCCGTGGGTGTTTGGATGAGCGGGCGAGCCAGCTGTTGAGTGGGTGAGTAGGGGAGTTGAGTGCGTGAGTGTTTAGATTAGTGGACGAGTGAGCAGTTGAGTGGGTGAGTAGGGGAGTGAGTCCGTGGGTGTTTGGATGAGCGGGAGAGCCAGCTGTTGAGTGGGTGAGTAGGGGAGTGAGTCCGTGAGTGTTTAGATTAGTGGGCGAGCCAGCTGTTGAGTGGGTGAGTAGGGGAGTGAGTCCTTGGGTGTTTAGATTAGTGGACGAGCGAGCTGTTGAGTGGGTGATTAGGGGAGTGAGTCCTTGGGTGTTTGGATGGGTGGACGAGTGAGCGGTTGAGTGGGTGAGTAGGGGAGTTGAGTGCCAGGGGCAGCCCGCAGCGAGGGCCTTCCAGTCAGGCAGCGGTAGACAAAACCCGCGGCCTCCTTCGGCTGAGCGTAGATTGGACCAAAGGTCATCGGCGCATAGCAGCCAGGGTCGGATGCGGCTGGGTGCCCCTCATGAACGAAGAAGGTTTACTCACCACATCGCGCGGGCGCTTCAAGGTGCGCTTCGGCGGCCGTCTGGAACGCTCTCTTCCTTCCGATGTTAGGAAGCCACTGGAGCTAAAAATCATCTCGATTTACAAATTCTTTTCTTCAAACCTTTATTATTTAGTTTGTCTTCCTTCCCTCCCCCCGTACCTCCAATTAGCACGGTCGGCTACGCACGGTGCGAGAGAAGTTCAATACACATACACACATACATGAACAAAGATGGTCACTGCATTGCGTGCTTTCTGATGCGCTTCTGCGGCCGTCTGGAATGCTCTTCACCACAGCACCCACCTGAACTCATGGTTCCACTCCTCACCACAACACCCACACGGACTCATGATACAAGCGCTCACCACAACACCCACATTGACTCATGATACCAGCGCTCACCGCAACACCCACACACACCATGATACCAGCGCTCACCACAACACCCACACGGACTCATGATACCAGCGCTCACCACAACACCCACACGGACTCATGATACCAGCGCTCACCGCAACACCCACACGGACTCATGATACCAGTGCTCACCACAACACCCACGTGGACTCATGATATCAGCGCTCACCACAACACCCACACGGACTCATGATACCAGCGCCCACCACAACACCCACACGGACTCATGATACCAGCGCTCACCACAACACCCACACGTCCTCGTGAACGCAGTCCTCACCACAACACTACTGTGCACGGATTAAACTACCCTTAAACTCTTATTCTACAAGAGCACACATTATTGATTAGCAATGTAGACGCGAGTTCTTCGGAGACGCGAGCTCTTCGAAAGGCTCGTCTGTTTGCGCGCGATGACAGACGGTTTAATTGACGGCGGGAAATCTTTAAAACGGAACCCGTCTTTGGAAAAAAAAATAATAATTACAAAAAATCCATTATGAACTCCCTCCTGAACGGGGGCAGCTATTAAGGTCACAGTCCAGAGCTCCGAGTGGTGTGAACTCGGGCTCGTTATTTATTTATTTATCTATGTTAGATTACTCAGGAAAGCCTCTCCGAGTCTCAAGAGTGGCACTGCGGTGGCTGGGAGATGTTAACTACCTCGCCTTGTACGCAGGAGGTCGTGGGTTTGATCCCGACCCTGACGATGCCTGCTTTATATTTGGGGTATTCGTGTGTCACTCTCTCCCGGTGGTCGTGTGGATTTTTTTCCGTGTCCTTGGGTCTTTCCCTCAGCATTTAGAATATAACAACAACACGTTTAGAGTATTTGGCAACTAGACATTTTCACGTGATAAGCCACCTTCTTTGGGGTCTATCATGTGTGATTGGCAGGTCGCTTCTGAAAAGAAGCTATGTAGCTCAGTGGGCCTTAAATTGGAAAAGTAACAAATTTTTTTTCTAGTTTTTAATTTTCATGGGGATCCTGCAAAGTTTTTTTGTCGTAATAGACGGGGGGATGATGCTGCTGCTGCTGATGCTGCGTGATCCCGATTGAGTAACTTGCGGGGAATTCTTTCAGCATTGGGCCTCGTTAGTGGTTACATTGTGTGTGTGCTTTAGTTTGTGGGAGGAAACTGGAGAAGCCGGTGGAAACAAGTGCAGGACAGGCGGAGAGAGAGAGAGAGAGAAACAGAACATGCAAACTCAGAAAGGCGCCTGAGTCTGGGAGTCGAACCCGGGGTTGATGCTGGTGAGGTGCGAGCGTTGCTACCTGTGCCACTTAATCTGGATCACGCAGCAGTAGCAGCAGCAACGGCAGCGACAAACATCGACTTCGGAAAACTTGGCTGGAACGTAAACCTGAAAAGATAGTCTTGAGACACGGTGAGGCTTTCCTGGGTAAACGAGCGCGCTGATCTATGATAACAATAATCACGATGATGATGATAGGTGAACAAGGTTCACTCGCCCGGCGGTTAGCGCTGATGGCCGGAGAGACGCTGCCCTGGTGACGACGACGGCGATGATGACGACGGCGGCGATGATGACGACGGCAGTGGCAGCGGCGTCACTTCTATCATTACGTAACGTTCTTACCCAGTTCCCCTGACGGACATCTGTGGGACAACAAGAGCTTTGCAGCTCATCGGATTTTCTCCAGCATAAATAAATTGTTCCGATTCTAATGTCATTCTGAAGCGCGGCTTCCTCATCGAGCCTCGGGATCGTCTCAGCTGGAGGAGCCACACGCGCGCGCAGCTGGCGACAATTTAAACGCTGCCGTCACTGACCTTGTGCGCGAGAGGGGCGGTGGCCGGGGGGGGGGGGGGTACGCAGTAGCTACGTGCCCCCCCACAAATGGTCATCATTGATCGAAGTAAGTTGTCCTGATGGACACCCGGTGATGCCGGAAGTCGGGAAGTGGGGGTCTGGCCCGGGTGGGGTTCGATGGTGGCGGCGTCGCCGCTGCCACGTTCATTGACTTGACCCCGATGGTGCTTGTGGGGTGGGGTGGGGGGTGACCCCCCCCATGTAGCCCGCATGTCCAGCCATCGCATACCCAAACAGCTTCTGTTCGGCCGGAGAGTGGGGGTTAAACGGGCGCGGCACGAGCTGATGTGGTGCTGGAGGATGTGGAGCTGAGTGGACTTGACGATGACCGGTACCAGCGGTGTCAAGATCGTCCTCTGTTTAGGAGGCTCGTGAAGGACGCTGCTGGGCAGTTGGAGGCAGTCGCCCTCCATCTTCTTACTCTTACCGACTGTATGACCAGGGTGGTGCCGTGTGATTGTGTAGTGTGGCGTGTGTGAGAGTGTGTAGTGTGGCGTGTGTGTGATTGTGTGGGGGTGTGAGAGTGTGTCAAGGGAGTGCGTGCAGTGTATGGGTGTGTGGAGTGTTTCTAGTGTATAGATTGTGAGCATTATGATTGTCTGGTGTGAGAGTGTGTAATGTTTACGGCCAACCAACACCAACGACGATTTTTTTAATCGGCCCTGGGCTTCCCCTAGATTGACTCAGCCTCAAATGAGTACCTGATGAGGTGTGCACACATCGCCACTGAGGAGACAAAGGCGGCTGGGTGTGGTGCTGGTTACCCACCCCCTCGTGTGCCGTGCTGACCTTATTAGGTGCACCGACATTATGTTAAGTCTATAGGGCAAGGATCTTTGTTGTGTGTAGAGAGTGTGTGGAGTGTTTGTAGTGTGAGTGTGTGTGTAATGTGATAGTGTGTGTGTGTGTTGTTCTTAGTGTGTATGTGTGTGAAGTGTGGGTGTGTGAAATGTGGTAATTCCTGCTGGACAACCTGTCACCACTGTTGACTCATCATCATCATCAGCAGCAGCCTTGATCAGTCTACTGCTGGATGAAGACCTCCCCAAGCAGTGCCCTGTCCTCTTAACCGTCCGACGTAAAACGCTTGTGAATTCCGGGTTGGGGGGAGTCGCGATTAATTAAAATAATTATATTTTACAAACCACTGGAGTCGTATATTTTAGTCTCGCTTGGGCAGCATTGTCCACTCCATCAGCTTAAATGTAACACTCGCATGTCATTTGCAAATTGTAAAAAGAGCGGGTAACGAAGCGACGGCTCGAAGCTTCGTCTGCCCCGCTCGCCCAAATCGGGCCACGTACCTAGCGCTCGCCCCAGAGTCGGGGCTCGAACCCAGGTCGCCAAGGTGGGCTGGCTCAGTTCCCAGGACATTGATATCGGCCTCATTGTCAGAGAGTGGGGGAGGCTGGGAGAGAGAGGGGAAGGGTGCTCGGAGGGGGTGAGGGTGGGGGGGAACTCAGACATCTGATCGCCCGGCTTTTGACGTTGATGCTTTGTAGCCTTTGGTCCATCTCATTGCATGGCCAGGCCGTGCGTGTGCGCCAATTGAAGCGCACGGGTCGGGTTGCGTTCGTTTTTTTGTTGTTTGTTCAGGTGGCTACTGGTGGGGTGGGGTGGGGGGGTGTTCCTTTTCGTTTAAATTCATAATGAGCAGCCGCTCGTTTGTAATATTTAGAGCGAAGAGAATCTCTCTCTTCGCAGAAGTAGATGGGCGCCCGGTAACGCACGGCGAAGGTTCGCGGGGCGTCACGAGGCTCGCTGGCCGGTTCGCCTCCCCCCCCCTGAGCGATTTCGATTGGTCCATCCCCGGTTGAGCTCGCGGCCGCCACCCCCACCTGCCCCCTGCCTACACTGGAAATCGGTTCCTGTGTCCCGTCTCGCGTGCAGCTTGGCTTCACTCGTCCTTCTCGTCTCGCTCGGAGAGCTCGCTCCCCAGGTCGGGGTCGCCGCGCGGCCCTGGGTCACTTGGTCGTAGCCTCACGTTTCTACAACGTTTCCACCGAGTTCGTCGGTGGTGAGATGTTAACTACCTTGTCTGGTATACGGGAAGTCCCAAACCCTATATGGTGGCTATGAGATGTTAACTGCCTCGCCTGGTATACGGGAGGTCCCAACCTCTACCCGGTGGCGAGATGTTAACTGCCTCGCCTGGTATACGGGAAGTCCCAAACTCTATATGGTGGCTATGAGATGTTAACTGCCTCGCCTGGTATACGGGAAGTCCCAACCCCTATATGGTGGCTATGATATGTTAACTGCCTTGCCTGGTATACAGGTGGTCCCAACCTCTACACGGTGGCTAGGAGATGTTAACTTCCTCGCCTGGTATACAGGAGGTCCCAAACTCTACACGGTGGCTAGGAGATGTTAACTGCCTCGCCTTGTATACAGGAGGTCGTGGGTTCGATCCTGACCCTGACACCTGCTATAAACAGTCTCTTCCCGGGGTCGCGTGGATTTTTATCCACATTTAGAATTGATGTGCATTTAGATTATTTGGCTCTCAGCCTTCTCTAGGCCTTTTGGAACGCGTTGAAGACGAGCCGGCTGAGAGCACAGTTTGTGATGACGGAAATCGGAATCAGAATCTTGATCCATCCTGGAGGAATCCGATGAGATATGAAGCTATTTGTCACAAATGTGTCCAGTAGGGGCAGGTCAGAAAGTTATAGCAACTAACAATACAAAGACACGATAGAAGTTCAAAGCACAGGAAAGGTAAGCAAGTCACTCAAAACCAATAAATGCAACAACTAAAACTACACTTTATTTTACCAGGTAAGGGCCCGCTGAGCTATTAGTTCTGTTTTAGAAGCGCCCTGGCCACGCATGATAGGTCAACGAAGTAGCTGATCATCATGTCGAAATGTATAACAGACAAATACTCTAAACGCGTGATGTTGATTCTAAATGTGGAGGGAAAGACTGGAGGATCCCCTGAGAAAAAAACTACGCGATCATGGGTATAGAGGGAGACGCTCGCAAACTCAAAATATACAGCAGGCGTCATGGTCGGGATTGAACCCACGACCTCTTGTATACCACGCGAGGCAGTTAACATCTCCTAGCCACCGTGATAATGAGAGAGACACGCAAACTCCAAATATACAGCAGGCGTCATGGTCAGGATCGAACCCACGACCTCCTGTATACCAGGCGAGGTAGTTAATATCTCCTAGCCACCATAATGATGATGAGAGAGAGAGAGACACTCAAACTCCAAATATACTGGAGGCGTCATGGTCGGGATCGAACCCACGACCTCCTGTATACCAGGCGAGGCAGTTAACATCTCCTAGCCACCGTGTAGAGGTTGGGACCTCCTGTATACCAGGCGAGGGAGCTAACATCTCGCCACCGTGGCGCCCCTTACATAATTATGAGAGTCGAGCTGGGACATCGGAGACTCGGACTCTTTTCGTCTCAGCTGGTGAGGCCTATTGAGCTGAGCACCTCTGGTCACACGGACGGGCCATACGCGAGTCGATTGTTCAACCGAACGTCGTTTGTGTGTGGCCGATCACGCGGGCTCATTTGAAAATGGGCAGCGGCCCGACATCCTGCTTCCCCTGAAGGTGGGAAACCCCCAAGCTAGCGACGCCCGGCGTGATGCTGATGATGTCACCAAGCCGACCCCCGTCACTTCCCGTCCGGCGGCGCATCGTGCGAGATTTTTACCTTTCTCTTCCCCCGGCTGTTTTCTGATGAGCCGAAGAAGCGAATCGATAATCGGTTGAGTCATCGACCCTTGGGGAATGCTGCCTTGGTGCAAGAATTGGTTTCGCACACAATGGAGGGCTGCGCTGGTTTGATCTCCCGGCACGGCAGTCGGAACGACAGCATAAACAGGTTCGCTGCAAAAAAAAGGTGTCAGTTTTGTTGCCAGATAGAAGGGTAAAAAACCAATTATCATATTTTTTACCTGCAAATGCACGTGCGGTGAAGTGTGGGTAAACTACCCCCCTCTTCTAAGACGCCTGGCCCAGTGTTGACCAGTCAGCCCCGAGTACATTCCAGAGCCTAAGTGGAGCGCCTTTCCAGCAGCAGGGGCGCGAAGCGAGCACTTGTAGGGGCTGCGCCTTTTGACATTTAATCGACTACCTCAGTAACCACGCAGGCCGGGGTGAGGACCAGGCCCGGGCCAGTGTGCATGCGCCGTGCCGGCCTTCTTTGGGGCTGCTCCCTGTAACAGCGCTCGCCCCAACGGTCTGCTGAGGCTGCACGTGGGGATGATGTCCGTTTCAGACGTACGTAGCGAACATCCTGATCGCGGTGAACCCCTACTACGACCTCCCCGCGCTCTACTCGTCGCAGACCGTCAAGCAGTACAACGGCAAGTCACTGGGCATGCTGCCGCCGCACGTCTACGCGATAGGTACGGGCACGCTCACGCATGCACTCACTCGCGCATGCACTCGTACGCACTCACGGGCAAGCACTCGCAAGCACTCACACTTGTACACACGCACGCACTCAAGCACGCACTCAAGCACGCACTCACTGGCACGCACTCACACACTCACGCACTCACACAAACTCGTACACATTCACACACATGCACGCACTCAAGCACGCACTCGCACGCACTCACACTCGTAAACACACACACTCACGCACACACCCACTCACGCACGCACTCACACTTGTACATACGCACACGCACTCACTGGCACACACTCACGCACGTACTCACACTCACGCACGTACTCACACTCGTACATACTCACACGCATTGGCATGCACTAATACACTCGCTCACTGGCACGCACACACTCATATACACACGCACGCACTCACGCACGCACTCACGCACTGGCACGCACTCACACTTGTACACACTCGCACGCACTCATGCATGCACACGTACACACTCACGCACGCATTCACGCACTGGCACGCACTCACGCACTCGCACTCACGCATGCACTAACGGGCACGCACTCACTCACACTTGTACGTACGTACACTTCTTCTTGGTTCTTTCGGTAAAGTCACGTAGAAGGGAAGTAATAAAATAATAAAAATAAAACATAATAAAATAATTCTCACGACGTTTTGACCACAACGCAAGCAGCCGTCCTCAGGTGAAGACCAGGTCTGTCGGGGAGACAGCGTACTTATGAGTACGCACTCACACTTGTACACACTCGCATGCACTCACCCACTGGCACGCACTCACGCACGCACTCATGGGCACGCACACACGCACACACTCATGGGCACGCACACACGCACTCACACTCGTACACACTCACACACTCATAGGCACGCACTCACACACGCACTCAAGCACTGACACGCACTCATGTACTCACTTACCTCCGATTAGCACGTTTGGCTACGTGCAGTGCGAAAGAAGTTCAACATACGTACATACACACACACGGGCATGCATTCATGCTCGAATGGACAGAGAAAAAGACCCCCTGCATAGCCATTAACAGACTGCTGGGGCAAGTGCTATTTGCAAGCAGCACCTTTTGAAGGCCGGAACGTCACACGAGGGGGTGGGTGGCCAGCATCACGCCCTGCCACCTTTTTCTCCCCAGTGGCGATGGTTACGCACCGCACCAGTTCCTAATTTCAGGCTGAGTCCACCTAGAGAAGGCACAGGACCGGTTCAGATTATCGTAACCGGTGTGCTGGCGGCCGTGAGCGGGAATCGAGCTCGTATCGCCGGGTTCGTTAGCGCAGCGTAGCGCTAACCGCTGCACTACCGCACACACGCACACACACAGGTCAACGCCAGTCTGTTCCACATTGCGGGTTAACCATCGTACCCTGACATTGTAATGAAACCCCGAGTCACATGGGCACTTAACAGTCGTTGTCTCTGTGTGTCTGTACCTCAAAAGGGTCCTTAACTACACAGCTCGGCACTATAAACATGGCGCTGAATAGCAGCCGATGACTTGTAGTTGGGCCCCTGTGGCAATTCTTCTTCTTGTCACAGGCCTCCGGACAAAGATAAAGATTCCCCGTGTAGCCTTTAGAGACTTGGCGAAATAAGTGGTGTTAGCGAGCAGAGGCCGGCACGGACCGCGGGCGGGTGATGTGGTCGGCACCACCGCGCCCGGCCACCTTTATTCTCCACGTTGCTGGTGTTTTTTCAACACCACGCTAGGTAATAATAGAGTTTTTCCCCTTTTTTCTGGCAACAAAACTGAAACCTTTTTACAAGGAATCATGTCTGCATTAACCACAATATTTGTGATTAAAATGCAAACAAAAAACACACTGATAATCTATGCATTGTCCTTGAAACTGATTGGTCCCCACACCAGAGAAGGCTTTCTTTTGAAAAGGCATCCCCTGGTCTAGCACCAATTGATACGAGGCTCAAAAAGAAAGCTGAACCGGTGTCCGCCAGGTTCGTAGTGCGGAGCGCTAACCGCAGCACCACCGCTGCCCACACGTGGTCCGGAGAAGATGTACTCACGGCAGATCCCTCCTACTCCCCCCCCCCCCCGCCTGTGCCAGCACAGCTGACAAGGCGTTCCGGGACATGAAGGTTCACCATGAGAGCCAGTCCATCATCGTCTCCGGGGAGTCCGGGGCCGGTAAAACCGAGAACACCAAGTTCGTGCTGAGGTGAGGAGCACGGCACCGCCGGGGGACCTGACCGGTGGCGCCGTGTGGTGGCTGCGGAGATCTGTGACTGTGGTGGTGGTGTTGTGTTGTGGCTGTCACTGGGGTGTGGTGGTGGTGGTGTTGTGTTGTGGCTGTCACTGGGGTGTGGTGGTGGTGCTGTTGTGTTGTGGCTGTGGAGCTGTGTGATGGTGGTGGTGTTGTGTTGTGGCTGTCACTGGGGTGTGGTGGTGGTGGTGCTGTTGTGGCTGTGGAGCTGTACGGTGGTGGTGGTGGTGATGTTGTGTTGTGGCTGTTTACTGTGTGGTGGTGGTGGTGCTGTTGTGTTGTGGCTGTCACTGGGGTGTGGTGGTGGTGATGTTGTGTTGTGGCTGTGGAGCTGTGTGATGGTGGTGGTGTTGTGTTGTGGCTGTTTACTGGGGTTGGTGGTGGTGCTGTTGTGTTGTGGCTGTGGAGCTGTGTGGTGGTGGTGGTGTTGTGTTGTGGCTGTCACTGGGGTGTGGTGGTGGTGCTGTTGTGTTGTGGCTGTGGAGCTGTGTGGTGTGGTGGTGTTGTGTTGTGGCTGTCACTGGGGTGTGGTGGTGGTGGTGCTGTTGTGGCTGTGGAGCTGTACTGGGTGGTGGTGGTGATGTTGTGTTGTGGCTGTTTACTGTGTGGTGGTGGTGTGCTGTGTGTTGTGGCTGTCACTGGGGTGTGGTGGTGGTGATGTTGTGTTGTGGCTGTTACTGTGGTGTGGTGGCTGCGGAGATCTGTGACTGTGGTGGTGGTGCTTTTGTGTTGTGGCTGTGGAGCTGTGTGGTGGTGGTGCTGTTGTGTTGTGGCTGTCACTGGGGTGTGGTGGTGGTGATGTTGTGTTGTGGCTGTCACTGGGGTGTGGTGGTGGTGCTGTTGTGTTGTGGCTGTTACTGTGGTGTGGTGGCTGCGGAGATCTGTGACTGTGGTGGTGGTGCTGTTGTGTTGTGGCTGTGGAGCTGTGTGGTGGTGGTGCTGTTGTGTTGTGGCTGTTACTGTCGTGTGGTGGTGTTGTTGTGTTGTGGCTGTGGAGCTGTGTGGTGGTGGTGATGTTGTGTTGTGGTTGTTTACTGTGGTGTGGTGGTGGTGCTGTTGTGTTGTGGTTGTTACTGTCGTGTAATGGTGGTGGTGGTGCTGTTGTGTTGTGGCTGTGGAGCTGTGCGGTGGTGGTGCTGTTGTGTTGTGGCTGTCACTGTTCTGTGGTGGTTGTGGATCTGTGCGATGGTGGTTGTGCTGTTGTGTTGTGGCTGTGGAGCTGTGCGGTGGTGGTGGTTGTGTTGCATTGTGGCTGCTGTGCTCCCCGTATCTGTGAGCTCTCTTGCTGGAGAGCGGTGGTGCAGCGGCGGTTAGCGCACCGCGCCATGAGTCCGCCGATGCGAGTGGAAGTCCTGCTAACGGCCAACATAATGTTTGTTAAGTGTTTTGTCAAATTTGTAAAGAATGAGAAACCCCATCATGACAGAACAAGTGTGTGTGTGTGTGCACACGCGCGCCATTGTGGGCTCTGTGTGGATATTGTGTGTGCCCTCTGTGTGCTGCGTGTATGCTTTATCGTGTGCTCTGCGTGTAATCTGTGTGTTGCGTGGACGCTGTCCTGTATGCTGTGCGTCGTGCGCATCCTCTGTGCTGTGTTGAGTACGCTGTGTTGCTGCTGCTTTGTGTGTGTACGCTGTGTATTGTGTGTATGTTGTGTGTGTACGTTGTCATCTATATGCTGTGTTGTGTATGTGTAAGCTATATGCTGTCGTGTATGCTGTTTGATGTCTTGTGTGTGTACGCTCTGTGTTGTGCTTGTAAGCTGTGTGCATTATTGTGTGTGTATTCTGTGTGTGTGTATATGCTTTGTGCTATCTTGTGTTTGTACTGTGTGTGCCGTGTGAGTGTACTGTGTTGTGTGTGTACTGCGTGTGCCGTGTGTGCCGTGTGTGCGTGTGTATACTGTGTTGTGTGTGTACTGTGTGTGCCGTGTGAGTGTGTGCCATGCTTTACGCGTGTGTTCTGTGGCGCAGGTACCTGACAGAGTCGTATGGAACTGGGCAGGACATCGACGAGAGGATCGTGGAAGGTGATTGCCTCCCTCGTCACGCAGTGCGGCATTGCAATGCGGACACCGGCACGCGCGTGTGTGTGTGCGCGTATGTGTGTGCGTGTGTATGTGTGCGTGTGTGTGTGTGCGGGAATCGAACCCTGAACAGACTGTTGGGGCAAGTGCTGTTAGCGAGCGCCTATGAAGGTCGGCACACAAGGGGGTGGGTGGCCAGCACCACGCCCAGCTGCCTTTGTCTCCCTCGTGGCGATGTGCACACATCGCACCGGGTACTCATTTGAGGCCGAGTCGACCTAAGGGAGGCTCAAGACCGGTTCAGATAATCGTCACTGGTGTTAGCCGTGAGCAGGAATCGAACCCGGGTCGCCAGGTTCGTAGCGCAGCACAGTAACCGCTACACCACCGCTCCCCACACCTCTTGCCACCCGCACTCACCTCCACACAGGCGCGCACGCTGGCGCTTGCCTCGCTCAAAATTTATTGTTAAAATGAACCAAGTGGTTTTCCTGTACCGAGCCGGCTGATTAATAACCTTGCAGATTTTTTTTTGCTGAGTTGTTTTTTTTTGGCCTCTGCCGCCGCCGCCGCCGCCACATCAGAATCAATTGTGCTCTAATCACCGGGAGCTCTATGTTGGGGAAAATGTAATGGGACTCCATAAATATCTCGAATCGTACCCTCCACCACGGTTGGGCCAAGGTCAGGCTGACTGCACCGGTGCTACACGCGGCCATGGTGCTCATGCTTAACTAAAACTATAAACTATTTTTATTTTTTATCAGGCGTAAGGCCCAACTGAGCTATGTAGCTCTTTTTCAGAGGTGTTGGCTATCACAACGTAGTGGCTAATATTATGATCATCATCACCATCGTATAGAAATTTATTAGCAGCAGTCAGATACTCTAAGCGCATAGAGACCCACAGAGACTGATAGAGACCCGCAGAGATCCAGAGACCCATACAGACTCATAGAGACATTATACTAAAAAAAACACATATTTTATTTGCCATGTGTAAGGCCCGCTGAGCTATGCAGGTCTTTTTCAGAAGCGATCTGGCTATCACAAATGGTAGCTCATCACATAGTGGCTTGTCGTCGTGTGGACATTTATTGCGGCCAAATACTCTAAACGCCGTGATGTTGATTCTAAACGCGGAGGGAAAAAAACGGAGGACCCGGAGAAAAATCTACGCGACCACGGGGAGAGAAACACGCAAACTCCAAATATACAGCAGAGGCGTCAGGGTCGGGATCGAACCCACGACCTCCTGTACACCAGGCGAGGTAGTTAATATATCGGCCACCGTGGCGCCCCAATGCAGGTGTCTGAATCGCTCAATTGGGACGGCACACCCCCCCCCCCCTTCTGCAATCATTGCCCCCTACTGGGAGTCTGATGCCCCCTAGTTCACTCCTACCAATGAGACTCTATCCTGGTCCCTTGAGTTCTCAGCTGGTTAAGCAAAATAAACGGGGAACTTTAAACCGGTTCACAGCAATTGGAATTAATTGCGGGAAAATTTTTTTTTTTAAATAAATGATAAACTTGCCCGGTCGCTCGTTTGGCAGGCAGCCTCCGCACCCGCCAGCGGTGTCTCTAGGCCTGGCGTCTCGATGTCAACCGGAGATGCTCCGTCTGTGTGCTCACCTGTTGAGGGCGGGCGGTGAGGAAACCCGTTCGATTTTGTGGACACTGGGGAGAGCGAGCGAGCGAGAGGCTCGGGTGTGAACCCCGTTTATCTTGACGAGCCCGGCGCTCCGTCAGCGTCTCGCACAGGAACTGCGTTATCGCGAAAATGCGTTGTGGTGTGAACACCGCTGCGCGTTGAACGACGACTCGCCGCGTATCTTTGAATTCGCGAAATTGTATGTGGGGCAACTTTTTCAGTTGTTTATCTCCATCCCGTATGTGTACGTGCTGGCTTTTCTCCGTTTTCCCCGGTTTTCCGAACGCACTCGTTAGTGATATTGGCCAAACAATCCCAACGTAGCGGCAGCCCTCCTAAAACGAGCGTCTTGGGAGACTCGGAGTGTGAGGGCTTTCCTGGGTAAGCGAAGGGGCAAGATCCGTGTTGCTAACTCCAAGCCAAGATAATCCAACGGGGCAGCGCGGGGAAGTTGGAACTGCGAGGCTCTAGCGCCCCCATGTGGCCAGAGTGGCCACCTGCATCCTTCAGTCAACAATGCGAAAGATTTCGATTTAAAGCTTTCGTGACTGCAGGGATTAATCTTCTTGGTTCTTTCGGTAAAGTCACGTAGAAGGGAAATAATAAAATAATACAAATTAAACATAATAAAATAATTCTCACGACGTTTCGGCCACAACGCAAGCAGCCGTCCTCAGGTGAAGAACAGGTCTGTCGGAAAGACAGCGTCTGAATGAACACCACCAAGCTTGGCAGTGTATGTGGTGTTCATTCAGACGCTGTCTTTCCGACAGACCTGTTCTTCACCTGAGGACGGCTGCTTGCCTTGTGGCCGAAACGTCGTGAGAATTATTTAATAAAGTTTTATTTTTATTATTTTATTATTTCTCTTCTACGTGACTTTACCGAAAGAACCAAAAAGAATACGAAAGATGCCACAGCAAGAACCTGGTTCCCCTGGCTCTCACTCCCTGTGTTGACTGAGCCTTTTGAGTGAGCGCCTAACACAGTGTGCACATGAGCGCGCGCGGTGGCGAGATGTTAACTCCCTCGTCTGGTATGCAGGATGTCGTGGGTTAGATCCGGAACCTGATGCCTGCTGTATATTTGGAGTTTGTGTGTCTCTCTCTCTCCCCGTGGTCGTGTGGATTTTTTTTCCGGGTCCTCCGGGTTTTCCCTCCACATTTAAAATCGACGCTATGAATTTCTACATGAGGATGATAAGCCACTTCGTTGAGCTATAATTTGTGACCAGATTGCTTCTGCAAAAGAGCTACATAGCTCAGTGGGCCTTCCCTGGTAAAATAAAAAAAAATTTCGTTTTTAGGTTTATGGCGTGGTGGCGTGGATTTTTTTCCGGAGCCTCTGGTTTTTCCCTCCACGTTTAGAATCGACGTGCGTTCAGAGTATTTTGCTGCTGTAAATTTCCACGTGATAAGATACTTTGTTGAGCTATCATGTTGTGGCCAGGTCGCTTCTAATAAACAACAATATAACTCCGTGGGGCTTACCTGGCTAAATAATTTTTTTATAAATTTTTAGTTGTAGTTTAGTACTGGGGGGACAAAGGCGGCCGGGCGTGGTGCTGGCCACACCACCACCTCCTTTTGCATTGTGCCGACCTTAATAGGTGCTCGCTAACATCACTTGCTTCACCAGTTTGAAAGCATGTATGACGGACACTCTGTCCCTTTGTCTTTCTGTGTGCGTGCGCGTATGTTTCCACGTGCGGGGAGCGGTGGCGCAGCGGTTAGCGCGCTGTGCTCCGAAGCTGGCGACCCGAGTTTTCCGCTCACAACCAATAACATTGGCAAATATTTGAACTGGTCCTGGGCCTCGCCTGGGTCGACTCAGCCTTTGAGGAGTGCCTGTTGTGGTGTGTAAACATCATCCCTGGGGGAGACAAAGTTGACAGGTGGTGGTGTTATCCACACCACCCCCTCGTGTAACCTGCCGGCCTTCATAGGTGCTGCTACTCGCTAACAGCACTTGCCCCAATAGTCTGTTAAGACTATAACGGGGGGGGTGGATCTTTGTCTTTTTTCGTGTTCTGTGAGTCACTGCTGTGCGTGTATATTTCTCTCTCGTGTGCCGTGCGTGCGTCTGTGCCGTGCAGCGAACCCACTGCTGGAGGCGTTTGGCAATGCCAAGACGGTTCGCAACAACAACAGCAGCCGCTTCGGCAAATTCGTGGAGATTCACTTCAACGGCAAGGTGCGGCCTGTCCTAACCCGGCACAGCAAGCACCACAGGACACAGCACACAGCACAGGATGGCACGCAGCATGCACTACACGCGCCGTAGCTCACCGCACGTGCCACACGTGCATACTCGAGCTGTGTGTGGCCGTGCCGCGTGGATCGCCACTGATCATAGCCCTGACTGCCACATGCCCCCTGTCCCCCTTGTCTCCCCCCCCTCCTCCCACGACACCGTCTCCCTCCGTCTCCACCAGAACACGGTGGTGGGCGGCTTCGTGTCGCACTACCTGCTGGAGAAGTCTCGCATCTGCATGCAGAGCAAGGACGAGCGCAACTACCACATCTTCTACCGCCTCTGCGCCGGCGCGCCCGAGGACATTAGGCAGACGTTCCACCTGAGCTCCCCTGACGCGTTTCGCGTGAGTAGCGGGGCGGGTGGGCGGGTGGGCGGGCGAAAGGTCGAGAGGTCGAGGAAGTGGCCAACCTCTTCAGCCGAGCGCTCGTTCAGTTCCTCCCATTGCCAAACGCTCCGTTAGCCGCGCTTGAAAGTGCTCGGCCATTGGCTCTCCCGTGCGCGCGTGTGTGGCGTGTCGGTAGGTCCGTCCGTCCGTCTGTCCGTCCGTCCCATCTGACTGCGCAGGGGAAGGTCACGGCGACTCTCGTGACGATGACCCGGCGTAAGTGAAATGTCAGTGTAAAGTTTTGCGGCTATCAGGGACTTGGCCCTGCTGAACCCCAGGAGCCATTTTAATTTGGTGCGTGCACGCGCGCTCTTGTGTGCGTGTGCCCTTCACGAGCGAACGAGCGAACGAGCGCCCGTGGCAAAGAGGACGCTGGCACTTCCGCAGATTTCTAATCGACGGGCCCAGGCCATAAACAAGTGGACTCTCCGTCTCCCACTGTCTCCACCTCCTCCCCCCTATCCCTACTAACCACGCTAAACCGCGCTACCTGCTGTCCCAAGTCTCACCTGCTTTCGTGTTGTCCTGTCTTTGGGTGTGCGCTGCGCTCTCGCTCGTCGCCGCGACCAGGCCAGAGGCTGGCCTGACCATGAAGGCTACGGCCACGGCAGTGATGTCACACTGCGGTGACGGCACATTGCGGTGACGTCACATGGCCACGGCGGTGACGTCACTCCACGCACTTGCCCGCTGATGACGTTACGACATCCAGATACAGTAGATAAGCCTTTTCGGCCAAAGTGACGGATGTCATCTGGTTTGACCTGGGGGGTCCGTACAGTCTGTTCTCCTGTCACGCATGATGTTTTCATGACGCGAATTGGATGTAACTCGATGATGAATGTATTCAGGAATGCATATTTTATCACGCGGATGCGAATTGGAATACAACTCGATCGAGCAAACGGAGCTACGTTGCGCGAGTGGGAATATAGCGGTCGTACGGCCGTTTCGGCATAGCATCACCGCACGACAAGACTTTGGGATGCTGCTGGATGCTTCTAAATGCTACCCACGCTCGCCCTCAGTTCAGCCCTGTGTACGCATCTCGCGCTTTATCGCGGACTGCGCGTTACTCCCCGTACGTTACATCTTATTTATTACAACGCGATATCTTTTTCCCATAATGCGGTGGCGAGCTGAAACTCGCTCCATTCCTGGTCGATCATAGCCTCTCGCAACGCCGGGGAACGATGCCACCTCCCCCCCGCCCTCCTTTGCGCGTAAATCATGGGTGGCGCGTGCGGTTCCCAGCTCGCGCGCTCCGCAGCGTGTTGGAGTGAGCCGCAAGTGGATTGGAACGCTCGCCGCGCAGAGCTGCTTGATCGATGAGTCGTAACGATATTATTGCTCTGTGGTTCGGAGTGCGTGACCGCCTTAACGCTCTCATCTCTACAGCCTGCTCGTAAGAAGCGGTGGGGTGGGGGGGGTGTCCCCTTTGGAAAGTCGATGCTAATGTTAGCGTACAGTTCACTGGTTATTTGTTTAAAGAAAACAAAAAAAATCCCCCGGGGCAAGGTTGCAGTGTCACCATTGGAGTAACTTTTTGTTTATTTAACCCTTATGCAACCCTCCAGTTTTTACTTTTTAAAATATGTTATCCTAGACTGCGCCTCTAAGCTCTAAGTACTGATGATGAATCGGCGCAGACTCACGCACACGCTCGCCGCTAATAAACCTACACCTCCGATTAGCACGGTCGGCTAAGTAGGGTGCGAAAGAAGTCCAGCGTACAGGTACATAGTCTCACCGAGTCTCAAGACTCAGGAGGCGGTCATGCAGTGGGTTGGTTGGCCAGTTTTGTTATCAAATCGATTCATCATCACGCACGGTATTCGTGCCGTTTTCGTAGCTATCACGAAGGGAGGGCACTGTTTCACAGATTCTCTCTGCAGGGGTTTCACAGTGGGGGGCGCTGTCGCTACATGCGATCGCAATTTGAGTACCGCCAGCTCATTCTGACCGCTTGAGGACAGGGCCAGGGAAGATGCGGCCACTTGCTTCAAAGGTGGACGAGATGTTAATTGCCTCGCCTGGTATACAGGAGGTTGTGGGTTGGATCTCGACCCTGATGCCTGCTGTATATTTGGAGTTTGCGTCTCTCTCTCCGTGGTCACGTGGATTTTTCACCGGGTCCTCAGGTTTTTTCCTCCACATTTCAAATCAACGTGCATTTCTAACATTTGGCTGCTATAAATGTCTATATGATGATGATGATGATAGCCAGGTCGCTGCTGAAAAAGAGCTACATAGCTCAGTGGGCCTTGCCTGGTATTATATAAAACAGTTTTGGTTTAGTAAGTGGAACGTGAGGGAGATTAGCTCAAATTGTGACCGTGGTCAACCACCCAGGTTAGACAATCACCTCACGTACCACCGAACTCCTGGCCCCGAGAGATCCATTCCCCCGTGGCATCGCCACCACTCACCCTCTCTCACCTGAAGCTGTTGAATGGAACGCTAACCTCGACATTGAACTACAGCTGCTTTCCCCAGCCGCACGAAGAAGAAGGAGCCCATTCCAGTGTCTCAGTTAATCGCACCTCCACGTAATTTATATTCGATTCCAGCCCTTACGTGTTCTCCCGTTGCGACGGTGGGTTTCCTCATCGTTTTGCGTGCACTCAAAGTGTCAGATGCGACCGATTACTTGTGCTCTCGGAAGGTACACGACCTCTCATGACCTCTCTGTTAGGCGGAGCCGCCTGCTGCTGCTGCTGGCCGCTGCCGCGGTGCTTCACTAACAAGGCTGGGCGCTTGCTGCTGCTCGCTCGCTCATACTCACATGGCGGGGGGGGGTGCTTTCTCAGGTGTGTCCAGAGCCAGGGTTGGTGGTGGTGGTTGGGGTCATGAGCTCTGGGGAACAGGGGGAGCGAGCCTCTTGCGGCCACCGCGGGCGTTCTCGCTGTCTCTTCGTCTGGTCGCGAGCGTCGACAGGTCTCTCTCAGGAGGGGGGATGATCGCTCGTTTGTTCGGCCGTCGACCGACTTGGTCACGGATAGTGCCGCTCTCTTCCGCGTTTACTCCAACGCGTAAGCGGCACTCTGTCGCGTAAGCGGCGTGCGGACGCGCAACCAAGGAGATCTCCCCGGGCAAAAAAAAGAAAGCGGAATGGACGGCCCTTCAGTTTGAGCGTTGGCCACCCAAGTAGAATCCATTACGTGGGTGCCCACTGGCGTTAATTAGGAGGAGCAGTCGTTTTTAGTGAACTAGACCGTCGTCTGTCTGTGCTGAATTGGACATTAGGGTACAGACGGTGATGTAGGGAAACGATAAAAAAACGCAAACAAATGTAACCGTAAAATCCGCAAAAAAACAACGAATAACGGCGCGACAAAACGCCCCCGTGGCGAAACACCGTCCATTACCGCTCGCGAGCACTTTAAAGGCGATCGGGAGAAAAACACGTTTTCGCTTCAAATATGCCGCCTCGGCGAATTGCAGGCAGCGGTAAAAATCGGCGTGCGGTGACGGTCGTTTTTAATGACGCAGACAACGAGCCCGCGGTTCAGTCCCGGCGCGCAGTAGGCCTCGCTTGATCAACCGCACACCCCCGTGCCAGGCTAGTGAACAAGGCACACGGACGGGGGACTGATGGGGAACATCGATCAGACCGTTATCCGACGCGCGCGACGTAAATTTTTCGTTTTACCGTTTAAACATATCCGTAGTCTGTGGCGGTCGACACAGGGCTCCACGTTGGTTTAGAATCAACGCGCGCTCGGGGTGAGTTTAGGGTTTGACTTTTTATTTTGGGGGGAGGGGTGGGGGAATTTTCGTGATCATTTAACTTGGCCCTGGGCGCTCTCATGGACATGAATCCATTGTTAGTGGGGGGGAGGGGAAACACGGAAGTGTGACGTGGAAGTTGTGACGTCACTTCCTGCGACGGCTAAACTTCACACTTCCGATTAGCACGGGTTGGCTACGTACGGTGCGAAAGAAGTACGACATGCATCCTGACAAAATTTTTTTTTTTTTTATTCGGATGATCAAAAAGTTTAGGACGTGTTTCCGGCTCCAGCGTCTCTCCCATTGGTGGGGGGGGGGGGGGGGGAGTAGCAATAGAGCTGTCGTGTGGGAATCCAACATATAAGTAATTCCCCTCAAAGGAGAGTGAACCGAATTGGGCCGAAGCGACATTTGGTGGTGCAGGGTCCGGCCTGGCACCCGGCTGGCACCGACCCTGCACCGACCGCACGGGCACGAGACCCTACGCAAAGTGACCCCTTCCACAACAAACCTATCATCACGCGCGCATCTCATGTGCTACTCCGCTTCCCCTGGTCCTTCCGTGTCTGTGGCGGTGGTGGTGTGGTCTTCCCCCCCCCCCCCCTCCGTGGTGTTCGCAGGGCGGGTGCTGGGTGGTGTTGTCCTCGCGTCCCCTGGGCAGTCATCCTAACCCCTCCGAGTCCTAGCGTTTATGGGCCACCGTGGTGGCGTCGCACGCCCCCTCCCCCCCCCCACCCTCCGTCCCTCCCCCCTAAGTCATCGCTAGCGTCGAGTGCGCTAAATGTGGATGGCAGAGGGGAGGGAGGGGGGGGGTGCTCGTGTGGGACGCCTGCTCAATATCCTCGGCGAGCCGGGCGCAGAGGCGAGGTAATGTGGTAGTCCGGAGGGTTTGCAGTGGAGGTAATGTTGTGAAGGTGATCTGGTGGAGGGTTGCATGGCGGAGGAGGTAATCTGGTGGAGGGTTGTTTGATGGAGGCTTTTGTTGAGTAGATCATCTGGTGGAGAGTCGTTTCATGCAGGTAATATTGTAATGGTGATCTGGTGGAGGGTTGCATGGTGGAGGAAGTAATCTGGTGGAGGGTTGTTTGATGGAGGCTTTTGTTGAGTAGATAATCTGGTGGAGAGTCGCAGAATGCAGGTAATATTGTAATGGTGATCTGGTGGAGGGTTGCATGGTGGAGGAGGTAATCTGGTGGAGGGTTGTTTGATGGAGAACTATTTTGATGAGATAATCTGGTAGAGGGTCATGTAGTCAAGGTAATCTGGTGGAGGGTCGTGTAGAGGAGGTACGTATGTTGAACTTCTTTCGCACCGTACGTAGCCAACCGTGCTAATCGGAGTTGCGGTAATCTGGCAGAGAGTTGTGAAGTAGAGATCGAGGGTCATGTGGATGAGGTAATGTGATGGACGGTTGTGTGGCGGGATCTTTTGTTGGGGAGGTAACCTGGCGGAGGGTTGTGGTGGATGTGTTGAGGCGGGCTTTTATGGAAGCCATTTGAGAGTGGTTTTGTGGTGGAAGTGGCTGTGTTGAGGTCGACTCGATGTGGAGGGTTACGTGGTGGAGGTGGAGGGCGTTAGGGAGGAGGTCACGCGGGGTCTGCGATGCTACGATTGTGTTGTAGAGCTCTGTCGAAGAGATGTGCCTTTGTTCAGGAGATATCCCATGGTGTTTGGCATCCGTGCTTTTCTCTCGTGTGTGTTGCTGCTCTTGCCGAGATGACCCTTCCTTTGTGCTGTTGTTCACTTTCTCTGGAACCTGCAGGAGGCTCGGAGGGGATGAAGATGTCGCCGACGTTTCGTGCCTTTTTTTTTTTGTTCCTCCTCAGCTTCGATTTAAGTCTCCGTGCTTGTGCGAAAGTCTGCGACGGACACCCTCGCCCCCCCACGCGGGAACGCGCCGATCGTTGTCGCGGCCATCTCGGGCTCGGCTCGCGCGTTGACGCGAGCATCGTTGGGACACGATGGCCTGTCGTGTTGCAACCCGTTGCAGTTTTCCCTCATTCACGAAGCCGCATGCATAGCACCGCGATTTTGGGTGTCCGTGAATCGTGTCTGGAACTCTCTGCACGGCTGCTGCGTCGAGAGAGAGGGGGAGAAAGAAAGTGATGAGATGAAGCGATGAGAGAGAATGTGATGAGGTAAAGCGGTGAGAGATAAAGTGATGAGAGATAAAGCTATGAGAGAGAATGCTTTTTTATGTATTCATTGAATGTCATTCATTAAGAAGGTAGGTTTTCGTAGGCCAATATCACTATTCGCGAAATGTGCTATTCATGAGCATCTCCGGAACGTGCCCCTCGCGAGTGACGAGGGAATCCTGTACTCGGTTGAACTCGGTTGGGATTGTGCCTGGCAGCATCGACCCCCACCCCCCTGCAGTGAAAACTCGGCAGGACCCTCCTGAAAATGGTCTTGAGACTCACACCTCCGATGAACACTCCCGCACCTCCGATGGGCACTCCCGCACCTCCGCGACGCCGCCGGGCGTAACCACGGCGACGCTCCCGGGCGTAACCGTGGCGACGCCGCCGGACGTAACCGCGGCGACGGTGCCGGGTGTACCCATGGCGACGCTTCCGGGCGTAACCGCGGCGACGGTGCCGGGTGTACCCATGGCGACGCTCCCGGGCGTAACCGCGGCGACGGTGCCGGGTGTAACTGTGGTGCGCGTGTGTTTTGCCGAGCAGTACCTGAACCGAGGCTGTACCAGCTACTTCTCCTGCAAAGACACGGACGGGAAAATCCCCCAGAACCGCAAGAGCGCCCAGGTACGCGTCCCCTCTCCCGCCACTCAGCCACCGCTAAACCACACTGTTATCATATTCTTAGGTTTTTTCGGTAAAGTCACGTAGGTAAAAAATTAAAATTAAGATTAATCAAGTAAAATAAAAATTAAATCAGGACGTTTCGGAGACTGCTGTAGCAGTCGTGCTGTGACGGTTCCACCTGAAGACGGAAGCTTGTGTTGCCTCCGAAACGTCGTGATTTTTATTTTGTTTTTATTTTACTTTTATTAATTTTTATTTTTTACCTACGTGACTTTACCCGAAAAAACCTAAGAATATGAATCCTTGCAGTCACGAAAGCTTCAAATCTAGAACACACTGTTATAATAATTAGCGCTGTTGCCGTTTAAAAAAAAAGATATTCGTCCGTTGTTCTGTTCGAGTCTATGTACGATTGAACTCGTGCATGATTGAGTCTGAGTCTATGTATGAGTTTAATTAATCGTATGATTGTTTAATTCGCCTACCCGTGCGACCCCCTGTGTAATTTTTCGCTATTGCCGACGGCCACGTCTGGGCTGGACACCGGTGAGAAAAGATCTGCATAGGTCATCAGCCCTTACTGCGCAAACCGAATGTCTGTGTCTAAAAATGCCTCTGCCTGCCCCGAGTCTCAAGCACAGCTTAGCTCTTCAGCTTTTGTTTGTTCTCGTTTGTTGTGTGAATGGTTGACGCTGTTTTGTCTATTTTGTCTGGTGCCATAGTAGCGAGATGTTAACTACCTCGCTTGGTATATAGGAGATCGTGGGTTCGTGCCCGACCCTAACGCCTGCTGTATATTTCTAGTTTGCATGTCTTCTCCATGGGTCGCGTGGATTTTTCTCCAGGTGTTCGGGTTTTTCCCTCCACATTTAGAGTGGACGTGCATTTAGAGAATTTGACTGCTAGAAATTTCCACACGACGACAAGTCACTTCGTTGGGCTATCATCTGTGGGAAGGTCGCTTCTGAAAAAGAGCTACATAGCTCAGTGGGCCTTACCTGGTAAAATTTAATTACCCGTTATTTTCCATTTTTTCTGGCCTCTCTAGATGTTACTGCATGGGAGGCACGGTACAAATAAAAAGTGATGATGATTGACTATTTCACCATGGCTATCATCGTCGGCACGGCTTAATTTCCTCGCTCGGTATTTTCGGGGGGTGCCGTTGGCGGACTGGGTAAGGATTTGTGAGTCGTAGTCGCGGGTAAAGTGAGATGCACCGCGCCGGACGTGGTGTACCGTGTGCAGAAATATGGTGACGCTCGCGCCTCGCAGCAAGAAACTCCTGAGTTCGATTCCCGTCTCGAGCGCGTTTCTCTGTGTGGAGTTTGTTCACGTTCTCTCTCTCTCTCACTCCCCCGCTGTTCTACATTGGGTTTCTCCGGGCTCTTCGGTGTCCTTCTCCCATTGATAAAAAAAAAACGTACAATGTAACCGGTGTTGACCAAACAACGTCGCAGTGCTGTACGTACATGTACGTTCGTTTAACTTCTTTCGCGCCGTACTTAGCCACCCGTGCTAATCGGAGGTGCGGGGGAAGGACAACAAACTAAACACAAAAAAGTAATTCCTAGTGGAAGAGATACGTAGATAACACATTTGTCATCTGGCCACATGGCCTACCAGCTGTGAACCAATTCTTAAACCACATCAATTCCATACACCCATCCATCAAATTCACCATGGAGGTGGAAAAGGATGGCAAGTTACCATTCTTGGATGTTTTAATCGAAAAGAGACCAGATGGCTCATTGGGACACTGTCTACAGGAAAGGCACTCACACAGATGCCTATCTAAAACCTGACTCCCACCACCATTCAGCCCAGAAGAATTCCCTCTACACCATATTTCCGACCATCACCGAGCAAGTGAACTGGAGCACATACACCAAGCCCTCAAGATGAATGGATATTCGGACGACACTATCATCCCAACCGTTGGGAGAGAACCATCTGAGGATCCAATCAAAACCATCACCTTGCCATACATAGCAGGGATTACCAACAATATTAAAAAAATCATGAGCAAACACAAGATCCAGGTTCGATTCAATACAGTACATAAAATTCGTGATCTGATCCCATATGTGAAGGATGTGATCCCTGACATGCAATACCCCGGTGTCTACAAACGAAGCTGTGGCTGCGGCAGTAGTTACATTGGAGAAACTAAGCGACATGTCTCGGACCGTGTTCGTGAACACAAGGCAGATCTGAAACACGGTAGGACCAATACCTCGGCCGTGGCTGATCATTGATTTAACGCAGTGGGCACACATGAAATACATTTTTCCCAGACGAAGGTACTCTGCAAACCTACTGGCTATCAACAAAGATTCGTTCATGAAGCCATCCAAATATATAAACACAGACAAAATTTCAACCGAGAAGATGGGTACAAACTGAACAATCATTGGAAGGACGTTATTGACTAGTTTAAGTCATAACTGGCTGTGATGTTTCCATCCTGCCGATGTTAGCAGTTATTTCCGACTGAGTTACATTCCTCGATGTGGCAGTGGCTACATTTACACCCTAATCTCTCATCAATACAACGGCCAGCCCAACAGCTTTGGGGTGTCCTGGATCTTCCCTCTCTAACCCCGGCCCCACTCACCCTTGGGCTGCACCCATCTTAGGCCTATGTAACAACCTGCTTCAGCAGCTCCCTTGCAATGTTTTTTCACCTGAGGACGATTGCTTGTGTTGCGATCGAAACGTCGTTATTTTAAAAATTATTTTTCTATCTACGTTACTTTACCGAAAGACCCAAAGAGTACAAAAAAGCAGTTGTAAGAGTTTTCAATGCAATTTAGTGGTGTAGTGTATATTAGTGGTGTGCAGTGTAGTGTATAGTAGTGATGTATAGAGTAGTGTTTAGTAGTGTAGTATGCAGTGTATCTTCGTGTGTATGTATGTTGAATTTTTTTCGCGTTGTACGTAGCCAACCGTGCCCATTGGAAGTGTGGGGGGGAAGGACAACAAACTAAACACAACTACAAGCAGCTCGAAAGAAATTAGTTTTTTTATGTAGTATAGTGGTGTAGTGTAGTTTAAAGTAGTGAAGTAAAGACTAGTGTATAGTGCAGTGCATAGTAGTGTAGTATGTAGTGTATAGTAATGTATTTATATATGTATGTTGAACTTCTTTCGCGCCGTACGTAGCCAAACGTGCTAATCGGAGGTGCGGGAACAATTAACTGCAAACTTTTCTCCACCTGGGATCACACAAACAGCAGCGGCAGTAGTAACGTCGCCTCCTCCCACCTTCTGCAAAAAACACTTGGCAGGACCCTCCTGAACAAGAGTCCTGAGACTCGGTGTGAGGCCTTGCTGGCTGAACGAGCTGCCGTTCTGTTACCGGGTTTACACAAAGCTGGGTTTTCTCGAGTCCAAATGTGCCATCTGATTTTATCCAAGTGAGTTGAGCAAGAGGGACGCAACTGCATTCACAAATGTGATTTGTGTAACTTTTATCCTGCTTTAAGAGTTAAGTTTAGTGCCCTTGTCCCCACCCCCGAGCAACCTCTGATTAGCACGGTCGGTTGGCTACGTACGGTGCGAAAGACGTTCAACAAACATACGTACATGACCCATCGTATCGAAAGTGACTTTTTAATGTGCAAGTGTTATTTAGAGGGACTGTGTGTCGTCTTGGTGTGGTCTGGGACTGTTCTAGCTGTTGTTTTGCTGCCTTGCCCAAGCTTGAGAATTGGTGTCCTTATGCAATTTTAACTTATCTGCGTTACGTATTTATTTTTAGTGACTTGCTTTCCTTTCCTCTACTTGGCACTCTGGTCGTTTTTTGTCGTACCGATCTGACCCTGCCCTGACTGGACACATCCGTGAACAAGTATAACCCGTAAAAACAAAGTTTTTCACTATAAATCCTTTATATGCGTGGCGGCTAGAGTTCTCTCGTCCTCTGGCTTGAGATGGCTGCCACCTATGGGTCAGATGATTGCATGGCACCATTAAGCAATTGGTAATTAAGTATAATATTTTTGTCCTAAAAAGTGTAAAATTTTGGAAAAAATTTTCACGAACATTAATTGTCACGCACAACCGAGTCTGTGTGGAAAATGTCAGCTCGATTGGATCACGGGAAGTGGGTTAAAAAACGACCGAAAGATTTGCACGGACGTAAGCGCGCAAGCAAGCGCGCAAGTGAACTTAATATAAAGGATTTAAAAAGAGCTTCATTGCCCGTCGGATTATCTCCAGGATAAACAAAGATTTTGCAAAGGGAACTGCAATGCTTTGGACGGCGTGCGTTTCTTGCCTTGGTGAAATCAACGCGTGCGAAGAACATTGAGCAACGGTGGCAGCAGCGCGGCCGTTGAGGAGAAGCATTTTTTAATCGGCGGCTAATCTCCTGCTAAGGTCGTGCGCGGTTCAGAGACGCCTGCGGTAGTTTGCAGATTACTCCGGGAATGCAACAAAGCTCAAGAGAGCGCGGCGAAGAAAAAGAAGAAGATGCGCGGAGTGAGGATGATGCGCACACGCGCGGAATTACCACCCGCGCGTAACCGACACGTTCCGGGCCCTCTGTTCCAAATTGGGATTTACGACCAAGCGAGAGTGCGTGTGGGGGGGGGGTGTAGAAAAAAATATATCTGGGATTAATCTCGCTCCGGGGCACGTATTTTTTTTTTTGAGAGGAAAATTGGAATGTCAGGGTGGGTGTGATTCACCTGTTCCCGCGACAATAAGTCCGTGGTGGGGGGAGGGGGGGGTGAGAAGCCCGTCTGTGCGGAGAGAGGAGCACGCCGGTCTGCCCGTCACGTCCAAACGAGTCGCTCCGGATAAATAATATCCCGTGGTGGGGAGCCCGTTATCGGCCGACTACTCGGCACTGCCCCCCCCCCCCCCCCCCAAGGTTTTGCCGGGCAGATAATTCCGACTAAAATTCCACTCCAGCGATTCACGTCGCGACCCGCTGATGTATTGTCGTCGGATGGCGTTTCTTTTTGACGACGCCTAACGTCTTACGGTGTTCCGAGCGTTCGAACGTCCCCTGCTAAATCCTTCATGCCGGCGGCGTTACGTACGTACCTATATATTGTACGTGCGTACGTTGAATTTATTTTGCGCCGTACGTAGCCGGCTAATCGGAGGTGCCGGGGGCGAAGGACAACAAACTGGACGTAAAACGCCATTCCAAAGAAATGCGTTTTCATTCTAGAAATTAGTTTTCATACTCTTTGGTTCTTTCGGTAAAGTCACGTAGGTAGAAAAAAATTCGTAGATAGTGATTTATTTTATTTTATTTGTACCCACGTGACTTTACCGAATGAACCAAAGAGTATGGATTCCTGCAGTCACGAAAGCTTCAAATCAAAATTAGTTTTCAATCTAGTATGCGGTGGTGGTGGTGTTGGCTGTGGTAGTGATATGGTGGTGGTGTGGGTATGTGTGTGTGTGTGTGGAACCTATTTCGAACCGCACGTAGCCAACTGCGCTAATCGGAAGTGCGGGGGTCAGGACGACAAACTGAAGACAAAAATCAGCCGTCAAGAAATGAGTTGAAGATCCTGAAGGATATGGACCGACAGTGTAGCCTGTTGGCCTGCATTGAGCAGCACAGTTCAATACAATTTTGAGGTTAATATCGCGGTTCCGTGCGACCGTTTGTCACAGGGAAACGGTGAGCACATTTACTTTTATGAGGGCATAAGTGGTCTCGATGTGAATCTATGGGTTCTTATCGGTCTCTGTATGAAGACTGAGACTTTTGTGAGTGGGTCTCTGTGCGGGTCAGTGCGACGCAATGTGGATTTATTTATTGAGCATCTAAATGCGGCCGCCCCTCAAGACGCCTCGTGGCAAGAAGCGCCTCGGTTTGATTCCTGTATCGGGCGCCTTTCTGTTTGTGTGTGCTCTCGCTCTCTATCTCTCTCGCTTTCTCTCCCCCTGTTCTGCTTGGGTTATCTCTGGGTTACCAACTCCCACGGCCAAAGACAACCACGTAACAATGTAACTGGTTGTTTGACAAAAACATCCAGTGCTGAAAAAAATCTACCTACCAATTCCTCAACGGGGATCCATCGCACTAGAGTAGCAGCAACAGCATCACGCCCACCCACAACTGCGACAAAAAATATTGGCAGGAACCCTCTAAGAGACTCCATGTGTGGCTTTCCTGCGTAAACAAGTGTCATAAATGATGAGTGAACTTTGCGGGCGAGTGTGTGTGTGTAAACTTTCGATTTAAAGCTTTCGTGACTGCAGGGATGCATCTTCTTGGTTCTTTCGGTAAAGTCACGTAGAAGGGAAATAATAAAAAAAAAATTAAACAGGTCTGGTCTTCACCTGAGGGACGGCTGCTTGCGTTGTGGCCGAAACGTCGTGAGAATTATTTTATTATGTTTTATTATTTTTTAATTATTTTTTTATTTCCCTTCTACGTGATTTTACCGAAAGAACCAAGAAGACGAATCCGTGCAGTCACGAAAGCTTTAAATCGAAACTTTTTTATTTTACCAGCTAAGGCCCACTGAGCAACGCCGCTCTTTTTTTCAGAAGCGACCTGGCCACAAAGTGATAGCTCAACGAAGTGGCTTATCATCACGTGGAAGTTTATTGCAGCCAAATACTCTACATGGATGTTTCTACAGTGATGAAAAATAATAATAGATATCACCCTTTCTGGAAATAATTTTTCCGATGCTGGCAAACAGGTCCCATAGACAAGTTTCCACAACTTGTTCCATTCCCGGTTGGTAATTGTAATCGGTCGCACTGGTGGTAACTGTATGAGGGAGGAGGTTGGGGCCGATTAAACCAATTGGGACTAATTCCCCAGCACAGCTAACCCGAATACACTCTTGCTATGAATTAGTACAGCTGGGACATCCTCGGACAGATAGAGCAAGATTGCCATGTGGCTGCGGCATCTGCGTTGCGGCCCGCAGGTTGTCCACACCACGGTGGCTAGGAGATGTTAACTACCTCGCCTGGTATACACGAGGTCGTAGGTTCGATCCCGACCCTTATGCCTGCTGTATATTTGGAGTTTGCGTGTCTCTCTCATCATCATCACGGTGGCTAGGAGATGTTAACTACCTCGCCTGGTATGCAGGAGGTCGTGGGTTCGATCTCGACCCTGATGCCTGCTGCTGTATTTTTGGAGTTTGCGTGTCTCTCTCTCTCATCATCATCACGGTGGCTAGGAGATGTTAACTACCTCGACTGGTATACAGGAGGTCGTGGGTTCGATCCCGACCCTGACGCCTGCTGCTGTATATTTGGAGTTTGCGTGTCTCTCTCCCCGTGGTCGCGTGGATTTTTCTAAGGGTCCTCCGGTTTTTCCCCTCATTTATAATCAACATCACACGTTGATAGGATTTAGCTGATATGCATTTCCACGTGATGATGTCATGTCGTTGGCCTATCATTACGTGTGACCTAGTCTCTTCTGAATGAGCCTTACCTGGTGAAATAAAATTAGTTCACTTTATAGTTTAGTCTTTGGAGATCGTATTTGGTCTGCGCTCACTCGCTCACTGGCCCATCTAGATGTACTGCATGGGAGGCACGGTATAAATAATAATTGATGGCGATGATGATTATGACTACTTAACCATGGCTTGTGAAGAAGAGCTATGCAGCTCAGTGCGCCTGACCGAGTAAAATACAAAATAAATATTTGACAAGTTTAATAGTTTCCACGTGGTGCACACTGAATCTGTCGGTCCTGTGCCCTCCGCACGCGCGCTCTAAGGAGGCGGAGGTGAGCCCCCCCCGCCCGTCCCCGCCCCCCACTGCCACCCGGTTCGGTAAAATGCCACGACGAGCCGGGCCGACGTCACGGTTTCACACAGCGAGCGTCCCCACGCCAGCTCGGGGATCAGCCCGATGGGTTTAGGGGTTTAGGGGCAGTCGCCGTCTATGCGCGGAGACCCCCCGCCCCCTCTTCCCCCCCCTTTCCCCTTCCCCCCCGCCCCCCCTTCCCCCCCCCCACTGGACCCCCTCACCCCCACTTTACTGCGCCGGCCGATGTGGCGGGTTTGGCGAAGGTACGGCGAGCGAAGACGAGGGAGCGTGGGAGTGTACTACAACAATGGATATCTTCTTGGTTCTTTCGGTAAAGTCACGTAGAAGGGAAGTAATAAAATAATAAAACATAATAACATAATATAATAATATAACAATGGATATCATTGGGGCGCCACGGTGGGGAGATGTTGACTGCCTCGCCTGGTATACAGGAGGCCGTGGCTTTGATACCCGACCCTGACGCCTGCTGCTGTATATTTGGAGTTTGCATGTCCATCTCCCCGTGGTCGCGTGGATTTTTCTCCGGGTCCTCCGGTTTTTCTCCTCCACATTTAGTAACACGCGTTTAGAGTATTTGGCTGCTATAAATTTCCACATGATGATAGCCAGGTCGCTTCTGAAAAAGAGCTACATAGCTTAGTGGCAAAATAAAAAATAGTTTATATTTCCTACAGTTTATATTGCCGCACCGCCCATCTGCTGACCACCACGGAGTTGGTTCCTGTGGCCGCCTCCAACCAGGTCGACAGGCAACCGACGTTTGGCAACTCGCGGCTCAAACGGTTCTTAACCAAGCGATTCGGGGCACGCGTTGCGGTGTCTGTAAGGATCGACGTGAAATGGTAAAATCCACGCATCATTTGATGCCCAAGCTAATCGCGCCAGATAGACACCGGCGAGCTCTGACCTCCGTTATAAATCATCGCAGTGATTTTTATTAAATGTAGGCAACAAAGACTTTCAGAAATCACGCACCTTCGCGCGGATGACGCCGTCAACGGAGCGGTATTTTAGGAGACGCGGTGGGGGGAGGGGGGGGGGGCAACACGCTTAAATATCCGGTGGCGTTGGGACGATGGCAGCGGGCTCGCGGTGTGAAACTCCGACGTTGGCCGCTGCGCTCCATCCGCGTGCTGTGGTGCGGTGATCCCCCCCATCCCCCCCATCCCCCCCCCCCGACACTTTTACCTTTTCCCGTGAGGCCGCGTTGTTTCACGTCCCCCGCGTTCTCCTGTCCGACCTGCTGTCACGCGTGGGGGTGAAGTCGGGATAATGATCGGCTCCGAGCCCGTGCCTCTTGTCCCGCACCCGGCTGCACAGGTGGGGGGGGGGGGGAGGGGCCTCGCGCCGCCCTGCTGTGGAGTGTGTTTGATCACGGTTGTGCTTTGCGGTGCTGTGCAGCGACGGCGTCGAAAGACAAAGATTCTCCCCCCCCCCCCCCGCATAGCCTCAACGGACTCGCCAGACCTGTCGGGGGAACTTACGAGCGAGGGGGGTGGTAGTAGTGGCAGGGGGAGGTGAGAGGGTGGACGATTGAGTTAGGAGGGGCAGGGTCACGGCGACAGCGATTTTGTCACTTTTTTCGGGGTTTCCCAAATGACGGAATTCGTCAGAGCGAACGCGACCAAATCCGTTGACTTTTCTCTCGAAGGAGTTGACAGCACTGAGGAGGGCGGGGGGGGGTGGGGGGGGTACGGGGGGGGAGGTGGCCCGAGACCACGGAGCCGCGTGTCTCCTGAAGTTCTGCGGCAGGTGACGAGCCCGGGGGTCTGGGGGGCTTTCCCGACAGTCGCGCAATCCTAGCGCCGGTCGCTCGGCACGCAGCTGCGTCGTGCGTGTGGCGATCGGCGCTGCGTTGACTGCGGCGGTTTGTGATGGCGGTGCCCCCCCCCCTCGCCCCCCGCCCCCCGCCCCCTCCCACCGGGCAGCACCTGCGTCAGGGCGGCGCGCTCAAGGACCCCATGCTGGACGACGTGCGGGACTACGCGCGCATGTGCCAGGCCATGGAGAAGATCGGCCTGAACCGCGACGAGAAGCTCAACCTCTTCCGCGTCGTCGCCGGGGTGCTGCACCTGGGCAACGTCGACTTCCAGGAGGCTGGCTCCACCTCGGGTGAGAAACCCACGGCGGGAAGAAGGGAAGGGAAGGAAGGTGACCCCCCCCCGTGTGTGTGTGTGCACGTCCGTGTGTGTGTGTGTGTACGTGCGTGTGTGTGTGTGTACATGCGTGTGTGTGTGTGTGTGACCTGGCACAAGCGTCGTGGTGATGTCACCGCCACTTAGTGGCGAATGGCGGTTGTTGTTGTTGTGTATAGTGGTTAGCGAGCTGCGTTACAAACCCGGCGACCCGAGTTCGATTCCCGCTCATGGCCAACGTCAGTAACGATTATTTGAACCAGTCCTGGGTCTCCCCTAGGTCGACTCGGCCTTGAACGAGGACCTGGTGCGGGGTTTAAAAACATCGCCACTGGAGAGACAAAGGCGGCTGGGTGTGGTGCTGGCCACCCACCCCCTCGTGTGCCGTTTTGGCCTTCGTAGGCGCTACTCACTAACGACACTTGCCCCAACTTCTAACGACGCGACACTCACCCCAACCATGGTGGCAAGGATGTTAACTACCTCGCCTGGTACACAGGAGGTCGTGAGTGCATAGGTTTGATTCCAATTCCGACACGCAAGGAGACGACGCCATGGTCACGTAGGATTTTTCTCTGGTCCTCCGGTTTTTCCCTCCACATTTAAAAATCAACATCACGGCGTTTAGGGTTGTTTGGCTGCTGCTATAAATGTGCACGTGATGACGATACGGCCACTTTGTTGAGCCGTCATTACGTGTGGCAGCCAGGTCGCTTTTGAAAAAAGCTGCATATTAGCTCAGTCAGGCCCTTAGCTGGTAAAATAAAAAATAGTTTATATTTCCTCTCGTTGATATTGCCGCACTGCTGGCCACCACAGAGTTGGTTCCCACGGCCGCCTCCGTCAGCCTGGCATTCAAATCCTCTCGGCTTCTCCGGAGGTCTTGACGCTTTTGTGACGATTTGGTCGCGGGCGTGCGAAGTTTGACAACCCGCGGCTCAAACCCTTCCTAAGCACGCGGACCCGACCTCGCTATAAATCATCGTCCTGATTTATAAGCCGAGGCCAAAAAGGCTTCAACAAGCGCGCACCTTGGCGCGCGGGTGATAGCCCCAGGTCGCTTGTGAAGAAGAGCTCAGCGGAGCCTTACCTGATAGAACGAAAACAAAAGCTTGTAAAGGCTACACGGGAGATCTGTGTGTGTGTGCGCGCGCAGGCGGGTGCATGGTGAGCTCCGACTGCTCGGCGTACCTCCAGCACACGGCCGAGCTGCTGGGCCTGGACCAGGAGGATCTGTGCGAGAGCCTCACCTCGCGCATCATGGCCTCGGGGGGCGTCAAGGGCACCGTCATCAAGTGAGCCGGGAGTCTGCGTGCGTGTGTGTGTGCGTGCGTGTGTGTGTGTGTGTAGCCTCGAGGTGCACATGGCCTGGCACAAGCGTCGTGGTGACGTCACCGCCACTTAGTGGCGAATGGCGGTTGTTGCTGTTGTGTGTACGTGCATGTGTGTGTGTACGTGCATATAACAACAACGAGTGGAGCGCCGGGTGGCTAAAGCACAGCAAGTTGGCACAGTAGGGGGCACAGGTGGTGCATCAGCCAGTCATCTCAGTCATCTCAGTCAGTCGACCCATGGCACCTGGGTCTGCCCCGTGACCTCCTGCCAGCGGGCGTTCGACACTTCACGTGGCCTCATCATGCACATAGCCTGGCACAAGCGCCGTGGTGACGTCACCGCCACTTAGTGGCGAATGGCGGTTGTTGTTGTTGTTGTGTGTGTATGTGCATATGTGTGCGTACGTGTGTGTGGTCGTGCGTGCGTGTGTGTGTGCGTGTGTGCGTGCGTGTACGTGTATCCGTGTGCACACAGCTCTGTGGGCCTTCGCAGGTAAAATAAAACATAGTTTAGTTTAGAATATCCCACAAGTCCATTGAGGCTATTCGGGGGATCTTTGTCTTTGCTTGCAGGGTGCCCCTGAAGGTGGAGCAGGCGAACAGCGCGCGCGACGCCCTGGCCAAGGCCATCTACAGCCGCCTCTTCGACCACGTCGTCGACCGCGTCAACCGCTGCTTCCCCTTCACCGAGTCGGCACACTACATCGGCGTTCTCGACATCGCCGGATTCGGTGGGCGCGCGCACGCAGGCGCTCGCACACACACGCGCGTGGGCACACACGCTTGCACACGCAGGCACACGCGCTGGCACACGCGCTGGCACACACGCTGGTACACACGCTGGCACACGCTAGCACACACGCTGGCACACGCTGGCACACACGCTAGCACACGCGCGTGGGCACACGCTTGCACACACGCTGGCACACACGCGGGCACTTGCAAGCAGGCGTATGCTAGCACACGCGGGCACTCGCTAGCGGGCACTGGCGCGCAGGCACACGTAAGTGAGCGCTCGCATGCACACGCGCGTAGGCACACACGGACATACGTTGGCACACGCGGGCGCTCGCAAGCAGGCGTATGCTAGCACACACGGGCACTTCGCTAGCGGGCACTGGCGCGCAGGCACACGCACCGCAGGTACATGCACGCGGGTGCTCGTGGTACGTACGCGGGGGCTCGCGGGGGCTCATGGGCACAGATGGCGAAGGTCAGAGTGGCCATCCTGCGCTTGGTCGGCCTGCAACTGCTTGCCCGTACTCTGCGTATGCTGAAGGTCGGCGCACGTTTCCCTTCCCCCGCGTGGATTTTCTTTCCGGGCCCTCCGGTTTTCCTCTCTACAATTAAAATCAACAAGTACCTCCGATTAGCACTGTTGGCTACGTACGGCGCGAAAGAAGTGAAACACATGTGCATACATACGACAAATTACGGAGACTTTTTAATTAACGAAATAGATTAAAATGTCTTCTTTCGCAGAGTACTTTGAGCACAACAGCTTTGAGCAGTTCTGCATCAACTACTGCAATGAGAAGTTGCAGCAGTTCTTCAACAAGAGGATCCTCAAAGAGGTGAGCGCTCTCCAAACGAGATGCCCGCCGACCGGCGGTGATGACGGTGATGGCGGCGGTAGCGGTGGCGACGGCGACGGTAGCGGCAGTGACGGTAGCGGCATTGGTGGCGGTGGTGGTGGATGTGGCGGTGGTGGATGTGGCGGTGGCAGTGATCGCGGTGGTCGCCTTGATCGCAGTGCTGGCGGCGGTGGGTGGCGGTGTCTGAGTTGTGATTATATGCGCTTGGGTGTGCTACGTGCCGTTTGAAATTGTATGTATGCCTTAACGTTAGCGTTGCGTTAACGTGGTTGTGTTGCGTTAACGTGGTCGCGTAACGTTAGCCTTGCGTTGTTGACGTGTGCGGTCGCGTAATGTTGGTGTCGCGTTGCTAACGCGCGCGTGCTGGTCTGCATGCGCAGGAGCAAGAGCTGTACCAGAAGGAAGGGCTGGGTGTCAACGAGGTGCACTACGTGGACAACCAGGACTGCATCGGTGAGAGCCGCCACGCTCCACGTCGGCCAGGCCCAACGCTGACGCACGCGAGAGAGTCGAACGTTCACAGCCCCCTGCGGTTTAAAATAAAATAAAAAACAATTGTTATTATCGTAATTCAACATGAGCCCCCGTGTACAAAAGCACAAAGCGTGACCGCGCAGGGAGGTTGGGGGCGGGGGTGGGGGCGGGCACGGAAACTCCGCGAACAAAAAGCCCAGGGCTCAAGTGCCGCTTTGTTTTAAGGGGAGGGGGAGATGAAATTGGGCACGCTGCCGTGCACAGGTGGGGGACCGCGAGCGGTGGGAAATGGAAAACTATAAAATGATAAACAAACATATTTTTATTTTACCAGGTAAAGGCTCCACTGGTCTGTCTAGCTGTTTTTCAGAAGCGACCTTGCTATCACAAATGATCGCTCAACCAAGTGGGCTCATCATCATCATCACGCGGGAAATGTATGGCAGCAGCCAAATATTCTTAAACGCGTGACGTCGATTCTATTCAACTCCCACTCTCGACTAACACCACTGACCTCATCCTGGGCCTCCCCTAGGTCGACTAGACCTCCAATGAGTACCTGGTGCGGTGTGTCAACATCGCCATTGGGGAGACAAAGGCGGTGGGTGGCCAGGCGTGGTGCTGGCCCACCCACCCCGTCACAAATCTGCACGTTGTGAGCATCCACCTCGTGGGGTGCTTACCAGCAGCACTTGCCCCAACAGCCTGCTGTAGGCTTACACGGGGGGTCTTTATCTTTGTGTGTGTGCGTGTAGATCTGATCGAGGCTCGCTTGGTGGGAATCTTGGACATCCTGGACGAGGAGAACCGCCTTCCCCAGCCCAGCGACCAGCACTTCACGTCCGGCGTCCACCACAAGCACGGGCAGCACTTCCGCATCTCCGTGAGCACCACCACAACAATCAAAACAACCACGTCGACAACAACAACAACCGCCGTTCGCCACTAAGTGGCGGTGACGTCACCGTGACGCACGTGCCATGCTCTCGCTGCTGGCAGGAGGTCACGGCGACAGACCCAAATGCCGCGGCTTGACTTACTGAGATGACTGGCAAATGCACCGGCTGTGGCTCGCCCACTGTGCCAACTTGCTGCGCCGCATGCAGGCACACGCACACACACGGGCACACGTACAGGCACCCGTAAATACACACAGGCACACACACGACCCATACGCCGTGTGTGGCGGTCAGTCGCGAGCACAACCAGACGCGCTTACGCACGCATCACCTGTCTGTGCCCTCCGCCGTCTCCCCGCCGTACGACCGCAGATCCCGCGCAAGTCCAAGCTGACCGTCCACCGCAACCTCCGCGACGACGAGGGCTTCCTCATCCGCCACTTCGCGGGCGCCGTCTGCTACGAGACGGTAAGCGCTCGCTCCACTGCCGCCGCCGCCGCCGGCAGTGACGTGCTCGCGGCGCCGCAGAGGTCGCAAACGGGTTTTGATTCCGTACCCGTACCCGGCCGCACCAGGGTCGCAAACGGGTACCCGTACCTGTACCCAGCCGGGTACGAGTAGGGTACGGGTATCGGGTACCTGATTGCGACCTCTGGGATGAAGCCATGTTGCAGGCGCGGGTGGGTTGATTCTAGGAACTTGAATTGTGAGAAGAGACACGACGTTGGGAAATGAGTGACAAACGGTTGCTCACCAGTGACTCACGGTCTACCCGTACCTGGCCGCACCAGGGTCGCAAACGGGTACCCGTACCCGTACCCGGCTGGGTACGGGTAGCCGGGTATCAGGTAGGGTACGGGTATCGGGTACCCGGTTGTGACCTCTGCGGTGCCGTCTCCTTGCGTGTGTCTGTGGCTTTGGGCGCGAGGGCGGCGGCGCAGATTCAACCAAAATCTCATTGTGTGAACCACGTTCATCACGTGGGCCAGGCCCAGCGCGCCTCTGCTCTCCGATGTCGCTTTTCATCATAGCCAGATTTCTTATAACTCCGTGTGTATCCATGTGTCTGTCCGTGTGTGTGTGGCCGTGTGTGTGGCCGTGTGGGGGAAGGATAGTGTAGCGGTTAGCGCGTTGCACTGCGAATCCGGCGACCCAAGTTCGATTCCCGCTCACGGCTAACACCAGTGACGATTATCTGAACCGGTCCTGGGCCTCCCCTAGGTCGACTCAGCCTTAAATGAGTACCTGGTGCGGTGTGTAAACATCGCCACTGGGGAGACAAAGGCGGTCGGGCGTGGTGCTGGCCACCCACCCCCTCGTGTACCGTTCCGGCCTTCATAGGTGCTCGCTAACAGCACTTGCCCCTACAGTCTGTTAAGGCTATACGGGGGATCTTTGTTGTATGTGTCCGTGTGTATGTTGGTGTGTGTGTATGTATCCGCGTGTGTGTGTGTGCCATACAGTCCCAGTTTGTGGAGAAGAACAACGATGCGCTGCACATGTCGCTGGAGGCGTTGGTGAGCGTGTCGAGCGACCCCTTCGTCAAGCGCCTCTTCGAGAGCAGCAATGGTAGCAGCAGCAGCAGCAGCGGCAGCAGCAGCAGCAAGGAGCGGCCCAAAGCCGGCAAGCTGAGCTTCATCAGCGTGGGGAACAAGTTCAGGGTAAGTAGGGGGGGGGGATTGGGCGGGGGGGCATGGGGGGGGGCACGGAGGGGGGGGGTGAGCGCGGGGGGGCGGGCACGGGGGGACCATGTCAGTTGGGGGGTGGGGTGGCACCCCTACCAGCGGGGTCCATACCGCTACAGCAGGGTGGCTATTGATTCAGCAGGGTGTCTGTAGCTACAGCAGGGTGGCTATTGCTTCAGCAGGGTGTCTGTAGCTACAGCAGGGTGGCTATAGCTACAGCAGGGTGGCTATTGCTTCAGCAGGGTGGCTATTGCTTCAGCAGGGTGTCTGTAGCTACAGCAGGGTGTCTGTAGCTACAGCAGGGTGGCTATTGCTTCAGCAGGGTGTCTATAGCTACAGCAGGGTGGCTATTGCTTCAGCAGGGTGTCTATAGCTACAGCAGGGTGTCTGTAGCTACAGCAGGGTGGCTATTGCTTCAGCAGGGTGTCTGTAGCTACAGCAGGGTGTCTGTAGCTACAGCAGGGTGTCTGTAGCTACAGCAGGGTGGCTATTGCTTCAGCAGGGTGTCTATAGCTACAGCAGGGTGTCTGTAGCTACAGCAGGGTGTCTGTAGCTACAGCAGGGTGTCTGTAGCTACAGCAGGGTGTCTGTAGCTACAGCAGGGTGGCTATTGCTTCAGCAGGGTGTCTGTAGCTACAGCAGGGTGTCTGTAGCTACAGCAGGGTGGATATTGCTTCAGCAGGGTGTCTGTAGCTACAGCAGGGTGGCTATTGCTTCAGCAGGGTGTCTGTAGCTACAGCAGGGTGTCTATAGCTACAGCAGGGTGGCTATTGCTTCAGCAGGGTGGCTATTGCTTCAGCAGGGTGTCTATAGCTACACCGGGTTGGCTGCGTCACGACTCAATGGCGGTCGAATGCGTCGTAGGGACCTGATGTGATAATTGCAGGACCTGACTATATTTTGCACGTGGTGATCAAACGACATATTCTGGTCGAGTTAGGTGCCAAGGCTCTTTAGATGGCAACCAGCAGAACCTTCAATTTGTTCTGGATCTCAAGCAGCATTTAGTGTCGTGCAAACCGCACGCGCGCCGCTCGCGTGCAATCTTCGAGGTTACCGAGGCTCCTCCGTGTCCGACCGCTGGCTTCACTGCGGTGTACGATTGTGCATCGTCGGCTTGGTCGCGGAACTCGATGTCGCGCGACGAGACGACATCGGCGATCGGAGAGGCCTGTGTTGAAAAACTATGGAAGGGCCTGAGGACGGGGACCCCCTGCGGTACGCCGACTAGGCACGGCACAGACGATGACGACCGTTCTCATCGTAGGTACGACTTCACTCCACCCCGGCGCCCGTACCCGATACACCGAACCTTGAACCGGTCCGCCCGATGGGTATCTGACGGTCGATAGGCTCTCGAAGGCGGTCGAGAGATCGAGGCCAAAACCAGCGTTGCGAAGCACTGGTCGTCAATGATCTTGCAGAGGTCATCGGTCATCTTTAGTAGAGCCATCTCAGCCACCTCATTGCCGTTTCTCTCCCTCCCCCCCGCTCCATTTCCTTTCTGCTCTCCTCCTCCTCTTCGCGTCGTTCTCCTGCCCCTCGACCCTCGGCTGCCCGCGTGGCGGCGCCTCCGCTCCTCCTCCTCCATCTCCACGGTTTGCCGTGTTTAGTCTGCGCGGAGCGCGGTGCGGACTGTGGCCCCCCCCCGGTTAAACCGCGCAGGTACCGCAGCCGGGGCGCGCGAGCTCGCGGCACGCACTCCGAGCACGTGCGTGTGTGTGCGTGTGTGTCCGTGCGTTCACCGCAAGGCTTCGTGGATCTCTTGACTACGCTCGTTTTCTGGAAGTGGAAAAACGCTGCGGCAATTTATCGCCGTCGTCTGCCGGCAACGGTTTGCGCCACATTTCCTCCCCCCTTCCCCCCGGTTGGTGGCGGCCGTGGCGCTTCTTCTAACGCCGGCACGTGCGTTGTTGTTGGACTAACCCCCCCCCCCCCTTCTCCCTTGCCCGCGCGTGTGACGTGTTTGTTTTGCGACCGCGTTGGGAGTGATGCTGCCCGTGGACGACCAATTCCCCGCGTGTGCGGTGTGGGGTCTGTGTGCGTGTGCGGTTTGGGGTCTTGTGTGCGTGTGGTGTGGGGTCTGTGTGTGTGCGGTGTGGGGTCTGTGTGTGTGCGGTGTGGGGTCTGTGTGCGTGTGGTGTGGGGTCTGTGTGCGTGTGTTTTGGGGTCTGTGTGCGTGCGGTGTGGGGTCTGTGTGCGTGTGTTTTGGGGTCTGTGTGTGTGTGGTGTGGGGTCTGTGTGTGTGCGGTGTGGGGTCTGTGTGTGTGCGGTGTGGGGTCTGTGTGTGTGCGGTGTGGGGTCTGTGTGTGTGCGGTGTGGGGTCTGTGTGTGTGCGGTGTGGGGTCTGTGTGCGTGCGGTGTGGGGTCTGTGTGCGTGTGGTGTGGGGTCTGTGTGTGTGCGGTGTGGGGTCTGTGTGTGTGCGGTGTGGGGTCTGTGTGTGTGCGGTGTGGGGTCTGTGTGCGTGCGGTGTGGGGTCTGTGTGCGTGCGGTGTGGGGTCTGTGTGCGTGCGGTGTGGGGTCTGTGTGTGTGCGGTGTGGGGTCTGTGTGCGTGCGGTGTGGGGTCTGTGTGCGTGCGGTGTGGGGTCTGTGTGCGTGCGGTGTGGGGTCTGTGTGCGTGCGGTGTGGGGTCTGTGTGTGTGCGGTGTGGGGTCTGTGTGTGTGCGGTGTGGGGTCTGTGTGCGTGCGGTGTGGGGTCTGTGTGCGTGCGGTGTGGGGTCTGTGTGCGTGCGGTGTGGGGTCTGTGTGCGTGCGGTGTGGGGTCTGTGTGCGTGCGGTGTGGGGTCTGTGTGCGTGCGGTGTGGGGTCTGTGTGCGTGCGGTGTGGGGTCTGTGTGCGTGCGGTGTGGGGTCTGTGTGCGTGTGGTGTGGGGTCTGTGTGCGTGCGGTGTGGGGTCTGTGTGCGTGCGGTGTGGGGTCTGTGTGTGTGCGGTGTGGAGTCTGTGTGTGTGCGGTGTGGGGTCTGTGTGCGTGCGGTGTGGGGTCTGTGTGCGTGTGTTTTGGGGTCTGTGTGCGTGTGTTTTGGGGTCTGTGTGTGTGTGGTGTGGGGTCTGTGTGTGTGTGGTGTGGGGTCTGTGTGCGTGTGGTGTGGGGTCTGTGTGTGTGCGGTGTGGGGTCTGTGTGTGTGCGGTGTGGGGTCTGTGTGTGTGCGGTGTGGGGTCTGTGTGCGTGCGGTGTGGGGTCTGTGTGCGTGCGGTGTGGGGTCTGTGTGTGTGCGGTGTGGGGTCTGTGTGTGTGCGGTGTGGGGTCTGTGTGTGTGCGGTGTGGGGTCTGTGTGCGTGCGGTGTGGGGTCTGTGTGCGTGCGGTGTGGGGTCTGTGTGTGTGCGGTGTGGGGTCTGTGTGTGTGCGGTGTGGGGTCTGTGTGCGTGTGGTGTGGGGTCTGTGTGTGTGTGGTTTGGGGTCTGTGTGCGTGTGGTGTGGGGTCTGTGTGCGTGCGGTGTGGGGTCTGTGTGTGTGCGGTGTGGGGTCTGTGTGTGTGCGGTGTGGGGTCTGTGTGCGTGCGGTGTGGGGTCTGTGTGTGTGCGGTGTGGGGTCTGTGTGCGTGTGGTGTGGGGTCTGTGTGTGTGCGGTGTGGGGTCTGTGTGTGTGCGGTGTGGGGTCTGTGTGTGTGCGGTGTGGGGTCTGTGTGCGTGTGGTGTGGGGTCTGTGCGTGTGTTTTGGGGTCTGTGAGCGTGTGGTTTGGGGTCTGTGAGTGTGTGGTGTGGGGTCTGTGAGTGTGTGGTGTGGGGTCTGTGTGCATGTGCGGTTTGGGGTCTGTGTGCGTGTGGTTTGGGGTCTGTGTGTGTGCGGTTTGGGGTCTGTGTGCGTGTGGTTTGGGGTCTGTGTGCATGTGCCGTTTGGGGTCTGTGAGCATGTGCGGTTTGGGGTCTGTGAGCGTGCGGTTTGGGGTCTGTGTGCGTGTGGTTTGGGGTCTGTGTGCGTGTGGTTTGGGGTCTGTGTGCGTGTGGTTTGGGGTCTGTGTGTGTGTGTTTTGGGGTCTGTGTGCATGTGCCGTTTGGGGTCTGTGAGCATGTGCGGTTTGGGGTCTGTGAGCGTGCGGTTTGGGGTCTGTGTGCGTGTGGTTTGGGGTCTGTGTGCGTGTGGTTTGGGGTCTGTCTGTGTGCATGTGGTTTGGGGTCTGTGTGTGTGTGGTTTGGGGTCTGTGTGCGTGTGGTTTGGGGTCTGTGTGCGTGCGGTTTGGGGTCTGTGTGTGTGTGTTTTGGGGTCTGTCTGTGTGCGTGTGTTTTGGGGTCTGTGTGCATGTGCGGTTTGGGGTCTGTGAGCGTGCGGTGTGGGGTCTGTCTGTGTGCATGTGGTTTGGGGTCTGTGTGCGTGCAGTGTGGGGTCTGTGTGCATGTGCGGTGTGGGGTCTGTGGGCTCGTCGCTCCGCTCTGTAGTGGTCACACCTCTGGTCACACCTCCTACCCGCCTTCTCTCGTCCCACAGACCCAACTCGGGCAGCTGCTTGAGAAGCTGCAAGCAACCGTAAGTGACGCTCTGCCTGTGACGCACATGATCAGAAACGGCGACTTGCGCGTCTAGCGTGGAGTGGGGGTGTAGCGGTTAGCGCCCTGCGCTACTGACCCGGCGTCCCGAGTTATATTTCTGCTCACGACCACACACCAGCGATGATTATCAGAACCGGTCCTGGCACCTTCCCCTAGGTCGATTTGCCTTCCAATGAGTACCTGGTACCGTGTGTCAACATCGCCACTGGGGAGACAAAGGCGGCCGGGCGTGGTGCTGGTCACCCATCCCCGTCATGTGCCATGCCGGCTTTCATAGATGCTCATTAACAGTAGTGTAGCAGTTAGCGCACACTGCGCTACGAACCCGGCGACACAAGTTCGATTCCCGCTCACTGTCAACACCAGCGGCGATCATCTGAACCGATCCTGGGCCTCCCCTAGGTCGACTAGGCCTCCAATGAGTACCTGGTGCGGTGTGCAAACATCGCCATTGGGGAGACAAAGGCGGTGGGTGGCCAGGCGTGGTGCTGGCCCACCCATCCCCTTCATGCGTCAGCAGTACAATAGTGCGTGAAGGCTGATCTTTGTGTCTGTGTGTGCCGCAGGGAGCGAGCTTCGTGCGCTGCGTGAAGCCCAACCTGCGAATGACGAGTCACCAGTTTGAGGGCGCCCAGATCCTCTCCCAGCTGCAGTGTTCAGGTCAGGGTTCGAGCCCCTCCTCGTGTGTGTCAGAGGTCGCAAACGAGTTTTGATTCCTTACCCGTACCCGGCCGCACCAGGGTCGGGTACGGGTAGCCGGGTATCGGGTAGGGTACGGGTATCGGGTACCCGATTGCGACCTCTGCCGTGTGCGCACCGGCATTCACGGGCGCTGCCCTCCGGCAGCACTTGCCCCGACATCCTGCGTAGGCTACGCGGGGGATCTTCGTCAATGTTCGCGTCTGTGGGGGGGAGGAGGGGGGGGTGAGCGGTAGTGCCACGGGTTTGCGCCGCAGTGCTACGAACCCGGTGACCCGGGTTAGATACCCGCTCACGGCTAACACCGGTGACGATTATTTTTACCGGTCCTGGGCCTCTCCGAGGTCGACTCAGCCTCAAATGAGTATCTGGTGCGTTGTGTAAACACCGGCGCTCGGGAGACAAAGGCGGCCAGGCGTGGTGGCGAATATCAGGACGGATCCTGGGCCTCTCCTAGGTCGACTCGGCCTTAATACGATTCCCTGAAAAGTCTACGGTGGGGAAGAGGGGGCGGTGACTTTTATTCTTCGTTGACGCGTGCGTGCGTGTGTGCGTGCGTGTCCCCTGCAGGCATGGTGTCGGTGCTGGACCTGATGCAGGGCGGGTTCCCATCCCGCGCGCCCTTCCACGAGCTCTACAACATGTACAAGAAATATCTGCCCTCCGCCTTGGCGCGCCTCGACCCCCGACTCTTCTGCAAGGTGCGCGTGGCCTTGCGCCTTCATCACCTGTCTGCTCCCGTGCCTGATCCCACGCCTGATCCCCTGCCTCACCCCCTCCAGCTGCACTCACAGCTATTTCTCTTCAGCCACAGCAAGCATTTCACGGTTAATACCACGCAGCACCGCCGCAGTAGTAACCGGGGTGCCACGGTGGCTAGGAGATGTTAACTACCTTTCCTGGTATACAGGAGGTTGTGAGTTCGATCCCGACCCTGACGCCTGTTGCTGTATATTTAGAGTTTGCGTGTCTCTCTCTCTCATCATCATCACGGTGGCTAGGAGATGTTAACTACCTTTCCTGGTATACAGGAGGTTGTAGGTTCGATCCCGACCCTGACGCCTGCTGCTGTATATTTGGAGTTTGCGTGTCTCTCTCATCATCATCATCATCACGGTCGCTAGGAGACGTTAACTACCTCGCCTGGTATACAGGAGGTCGTGGGTTCGACCCCAAACCTGACGCCTGCTGCTGTATAGTTGGAGTCTGTGTGTCTCTCTCATCATCATCATCACGGTGGCTAGGAGATGTTAACTACCTCGCCTGGTACACAGGAGGTCGTGGGTTCGACCCCAACCCTGACGCCTGTTGCTGTATATTTGGAGTTTGCATGTCTCTCCCCCCGTGGTCACGTGGATTTTTCTCCGGGTCCTCCGGTTTTACCCTCCACATTTAGCTATAAATTTCTACGTCATGGTAAGCTGCTTCGTTTGAGCTATCATTTGTGACGGCCAGGTCGCTTCTTCTACCAGGTAGGTGGGCCCTTACCTGGTAAAATAAAATTTAGTTTAGTTTATGGAGTGTTGCAGCGAGCACCATGCACTGCGGACCCGGCGACACGAGTTCGATTCCCGCACGGCCACGGCCATCGTCGTCGTGACGTCGCGTAGCGAGGCTCCCGCTGACGCTGCGTCTGGCCTTCCCTGCCCGCAGGCTCTCTTCAAAGCGCTGGGCCTGAACGAGAACGACTTCAAGTTCGGACTCACCAAAGTGTTCTTCAGACCCGGCAAGGTGAGCGGAGGACTCGCTCGCTCCCACACACACACATCCATGCACGTGCCCGTGTACCCCTCGCTTGCTCGCTCGATCTCTCCCCTAGGTCGACTCGGCCTCAAATGAGTACCTGGTGCGGTGCGTAAAAACATTGCCACTGAGGAGACAAAGGCAACTGGGCGTGGTGTTGGTTACCCACCCTTCATAAGTGCTACTCGCTAACAGCACCGGCCCTAAGAGTCTGTTTTGGCTACATGGGGATCATTGTTTACATGAATGTGTGTGTACGCATGCGTGCGTGTGTGAATATGTGTGTTTATGTGAATGGCCTGGCACAAGCGTCGTGGTGACGTCACCTCCACTTTGTGGCGAATGGCGCTTGTTGTTGTTGTTATGTGAATGTGTGTGTGTGCATGTGTGTGCGTGCCCCAGTTTGCCGAGTTTGACCAGATCATGAAGTCAGACCCGGAGCACCTGGCGGAGCTCGTGGGGCGAGTGAAGCGCTGGCTCATCGGAAACCGCTGGAGGAAGGCGCAGTGGTGCTCGCTGTCCGTCATCAAGCGTACGCACAGATCTCGCACGGCAACAATTCTTACGTCACTCGGCAACAACACTCGTCATGTGGCAACAACATTTGTTAGACAGCAACAATACTCACACCACATGGCAACAACACTCATCACGCAGCAACAACACTCACGTCATGCGGCAACAACACTTGTCAGCCACAACCATCACACAGCTTTACTCATCGTACAGGGGCCACTCATCCCTCGGGAACAATCATCGCACAGCACCGCTCGTGACACAGCACGAGGTGGGTGCCATCACTACTCCCATCATTTCTCTGGGATGGGTGCCACCACTACTCCCATCGCTTCTCTGGGATGGGTGCTATCACTACTCTCATCACTTCTCTGGGATGGGTGCCACCACTACTCCCATCACTTCTCTGGGGTGGGTGCCACCACTACTCTCATCACTTCTCTGGGATGGGTGCCACCACTACTCCCATCACTTCTCTTGGATGGGTGCCACCACTACTCCCATCGCTTCTCTGGGATGGGTGCCACCACTACTCTCATCACTTCTCTGGGATGGGTGCCATCACTACTCCCATCACTTCTCTGGGATGGGTGCCACCACTACTCTCATCACTTCTCTGGGATGGGTGCCACCACTACTCCCATCGCTTCTCTGGGATGGGTGCCATCACTACTCTCATCTACTCCCATCGCTTCTCTGGGATGGGTGCCACCACTACTCCCATCGCTTCTCTGGGATGGGTGCCACCACTACTCCCATCACTTCTCTGGGATGGGTGCCACCACTACTCTCATCACTTCTCTGGGATGGGTGCCACCACTACTCTCATCGCTTCTCTGGGATGGGTGCCACCACTACTCCCATCGCTTCTCTGGGATGGGTGCCATCACTACTCTCCATCGCTTCTCTGGGATGGGTGCCACCACTACTCCCATCGCTTCTCTTGGATGGGTGCCATCACTACTCCTCATCACTTCTCTTGGATGGGTGCCATCACTACTCCCATCACTTCTCTTGGATGGGTGCCACCACTACTCCCATCGCTTCTCTGGGGTGGGCGCCACCACCACTCCTCCTCCCACCTTCCTCCTCGTCTCTTCATCTCTCTCCCGGGTTCCACTCTTCCCCCGCCGTGCCCTCCTACCCCCGCGGTGCGCGGCGATCCCGCTCCTCGCCGGCGTTCACCGCTTCCTGACGGTCCAGAGCTGTGGGCCAAAACGCCGCCCCTCATCCGCTCCGCTTGCTCCCTCTCTCCCTCCCCCCGCCCCCCACGTTTTGCCCGTTTCAGTGAAGAACAAGATCCTGTACCGGGCTGCGGCGTGCGTCAAGATCCAGAAGACGGTGCGCATGTTCCTGTGCAGGAAGCGCTACAAGCATCGGTGCGATGGGGCTCACGGCGTCCGCGACACTTTCGGGGTTCATTTGGGACGAGGATCGACTATATGGATGGGACCTTGAGTTGAATTTAACGCCCCCGGCTATTCACTGCCACTGTTACGATTCGTAATTGTTTGTTTTTTTCTTCGCTCGCTTGGGGCCTGTTGTGGTGGTTTGGACACGTGCGTCGTCGGGTACACAACAACAGGACATGTAAAGTGTGTTGTTGTTGATGTTTGGGGAAAAATAGACGGAACCTGAATAGGAGGAAGACCTTGCAGAGAAGGGCTTGACGATGACATCATAAGACAGGGGTCGGCAACCAAAATAACAAGAAGAGCCATTTCTTTCCAATTCGGTACAAAATTCAGTATTTCAAGAGCCGCAATGCATCTGAGTACATACTGTACATACGTACATTTCGTCAAGAAGCAGCCCGTAAAGAGCCGCATGCGGCTCCGGAGCCGTAGGTTGCCGACCCCTGTTATAAGAGATTGGTACCAGGAGGATGTGGTGCATGACTTGAGCCATATTGGCACAAGACACGGGGAAAGTGGAAACAACAATTTATGAAATGTGCAGTGGACACCTACTACGGGCTATCCACCCATGGATCGTGATGATGATTGTGGTTATGCTGCTTGCCTCTGAGAACTCGGTTCCAAGTCGGATCAGGGATTCTGTACGCACATTTAACTTCTTTCGTACCGTACGTAGTCAACCGCTAAATGCAAAAAGCAGTTAGAAATAAATTAATCTCTGACCATAGCTTGAGATTCAGCCGCTGCCAAAGTCTATGGCGAGCGATCGATCCCAACCGGTTATGGACCCTCTTCTTGGTCGACTCAGCCTGAAATAAGTATCTTGTGCGATGTGCAAACATAAGCACTGTGGAGACAAAGGCGGCCGGGCATGGTACTGGCAACTGCCACTTGCTCGTGATGCTGTGATGGCCATGATAGATGCTCGCAAACAGCCCGTTAAAATTAGTTTTTTTAAAGCTGATTTCTTTAACAACTGCTTCCTCCGCACCTTTGATTATCATGGTTGGCTACGTGCGGTGCGAAAGAAATTCAGCATACAAACAGTTCAACATACATATACGCCATTTCACTGAGCTATCATTTGTGGCCAGATCGCTTCTGAAAAGGCGCTAATAGCTCAAAGGGCTTTAGCTGGTAAACTTAAAATATATATTTTGTAACGTCCCCTGCTTAGTGAAGCAGAAGGCGGGGTGCAAACATTTCACGGTTAATACCACGCAGTACCACCGCGGTAGTAACCGGGGTGCCACGGTCGCTAGGAGACGTTAACTACCTCGCCTGGTACACAGGAGGTCGTGGGTTCGACCCCAAACCTGACGCCTGCTGCTGTATATTTGGAGTCTGCGTGTCTCTCTCATATCATCATCATCACGGTGGCTAGGAGATGTTAACTACCTCGCCTGGTACACAGGAGGTCGTGGGTTCGACCCCAAACCTGACGCCTGCTGCTGTATATTTGGAGTCTGCGTGTTTCTCTCATCATCATCATCATCACGGTCGCTAGGAGACGTTAACTACCTCGCCTGGTATACAGGAGGTCGTGGGTTCGACCCCAAACCTGACGCCTGCTGCTGTATATTTGGAGTCTGCGTGTCTCTCTCATCATCATCATCACGGTGGCTAGGAGATGTTAACTACCTCGCCTGGTACACAGGAGGTCGTGGGTTCGACCCCAAACCTGACGCCTGCTGCTGTATATTTGGAGTCTGCGTGTCTCTCTCATCATCATCATCATCACGGTGGCTAGGAGATGTTAACTACCTCGCCTGGTACACAGGAGGTCGTGGGTTCGACCCCAAACCTGACGCCTGCTGCATATTTGGAGTCTGCGTGTCTCTCTCATCATCATCATCATCATCACGGTGGCTAGGAGATGTTAACTACCTCGCCTGGTGTACAGGAGGTCGTGGGTTCGACCCCAAACCTGACGCCTGCTGCTGTATATTTGGAGTCTGCGTGTCTCTCTCATCATCATCATCACGGTGGCTAGGAGATGTTAACTACCTCGCCTGGTACACAGGAGGTCGTGGGTTCGACCCCAAACCTGACGCCTGCTGCTGTATATTTGGAGTCTGCGTGTCTCTCTCATCATCATCATCATCATCACGGTCGCTAGGAGACGTTAACTACCTCGCATGGTATACAGGAGGTCGTGGGTTCGACCCCAAACCTGACGCCTGCTGCTGTATATTTGGAGTCTGCGTGTCTCTCTCATCATCATCATCACGGTGGCTAGGAGATGTTAACTACCTCGCCTGGTACACAGGAGGTCGTGGGTTCGACCCCAAACCTGACGCCTGTTGCTGTATATTTGGAGTCTGCGTGTCTCTCTCATCATCATCATCACGGTGGCTAGGAGATGTTAACTACCTCGCCTGGTACACAGGAGGTCGTGGGTTCGACCCCAAACCTGACGCCTGCTGCATATTTGGAGTATGCGTGTCTCTCTCATCATCATCATCATCACGGTGGCTAGGAGATGTTAACTACCTCGCCTGGTGTACAGGAGGTCGTGGGTTCGACCCCAAACCTGACGCCTGCTGCTGTATATTTGGAGTCTGCGTGTCTCTCTCATCATCATCATCACGGTGGCTAGGAGATGTTAACTACCTCGCGTGGTACACAGGAGGTCGTGGGTTCGACCCCAAACCTGACGCCTGCTGCTGTATATTTGGAGTGTGCATGTCTCTCTCTCTCCCCGTGGTCACGTGGATTTTTCTCCGGGGTCCTCCGGTTTTTCCCCTCCACATTTAGAATCAACGTCGCGCGTTTAGAGTTACTTGGCTACCGCTATAAATTTCCACATGATGATAAGCCCACTTCGTTTGTGATAGCCAGGTCGCTTCTGGAAAATAGCTACGTAGCTCAGTAGGCTCTAACTGGTAAAATAAAATACTTTTTTTTACGTCCACTGCTTAAATTTCTATTAAAGCTTTCGTGACTGCAGGGACTCATCTTCTTGGTTCTTTCGGTAAAGTCACGTAGAATGGAAATAATAAAATAATAAAAATAAAACATAATAAAATAATTCTCACGACGTTTCGGCCACAACGCAAGCAGCCGTCCTCAGGTGAAGAACAGTTCTGTCGATAAGACAGACTCTGTCTGTCGATAAGACAGAGTCTGTCTTATCGACAGACCTGAGGACGGCTGCTTGCGTTGTGGCTGAAACGTCGTGAGAATTATTTTGTCATGTTTTATTTTTATTATTTTATTATTTCCACTCTACGTGACTTTACCGAAAGAACCAAGAAGATGAGTCCACTGCTTAGTGAAGCAGACGGCGGCGTGCAAGCATTTCACGGTTAATACCACGCAGCACCGCCGCAGTAGTAACTGGGACGGCCTTCCCGATTGGAACCTCCGCCACGAACTGCGAACGCGCTAACCGCTGGGCCCCGCCGTGCGTGCGCGTGTGCAGCGTGGAGGGCCTGGTGAAGGTCCGCTCGCTGCAGAAGCGGCTGGAGCAGATGAAGAAGGTGACCTCCACGCTGAAGGACGGGGGCGCGCAGAAGGACGTGCAGCAGATGGAGGCCGCGGTCCAGACCCTCGTGGGAAAGATCAAGGTCAGTCGCTCGCTCCGCCGCGTTAAACTTTACGGGAGGGTGGTTGTGTGCGCTCGTTTGGTTTATCGATTCAGTCTGCAATAATAACACCACATTGCCTGGTGTATTTATGTGTGTACGTGTGTATGTATGTGTTGCGGTTAGCGTGCTGCGCTACGAACCCAGCGACCCGAGTTCGATTCCCGCTCACGGCCAACACCGGTGACGATTATCTGAACCGGTCCTGGGCCTCTCCTAAGTCGAGCTAGCCTCAAATAAGTACCAGCTTTAGTGTGTAAACATCTCCACTGGGGAGACAAAGGCGGCCGTGCGTGGTGCTGGCCACCCACCCCCTCGTGTGCTGTGCTGGCCTTCATAGGTGCTCGCTAAGAGCACTTGCCCCAACAGTCTCTTGAGGCTATACTGGGGATATTTGTCTTTTTATGTATGTTGAAACTTAGCGTATCTAAACCAATTCACGTCCCTCCTGATGGAAATTCATTGGACCTGCCATGTCTCTCTTCGGTAAACAAGTAAATATTTATTAAGATGATGAAAAAAAAATGAATAGGATTTACCCTTTCCTGGCAAGAATACCAGCATTGTGTTAAGATGTTCAAACACCAAAGAGACACGCATGCCTTGTGATGTTTTCAAAACGTGTTTTACCACGAGTATGGGTGTGTGTTTTGTATCTTGAACTTCTTTTGCACCGTACGTAGCCAACCGTGCTCATTGGAGCTCCGGGGGTGAAGGACAGCAAACTAAACACAGCAACAACAACAAGCGGTTCTAAATAAATCCGTTTGTCAATCTAGATGATGACTTAAAAGTGCATAGTGGCTTCCGAATATCGGAAGGGAAGAGCGTTCCAGACAGCCACGGAAGCACATCTGAAAGCGCTAGGGTTAGGGTGCCAAACAACACTGTACATAATGCTGCTGTTCTACTCTTGCGCATGTTGGCAGCAGCAGTCTGTCGAGGTCTGCTGCTGCTGCTGGCTGCGGTGAGAGGGCTTTAGAGGAGAGAGTTCACGTCATCGTTTCTTTTGCTCCGCTGAAGGAGCACGGACCGCAGTGGGTTTCCTCTGCGGTCCGTAGCGTGGTTTGCATGGCCACAGTCGCTTGAGTGTCGTTCATTTTAGATTTGAAGCTTTCGTGACTGCAAGGATTCATACTCTTAGTTCTTACGGTAAAGTCACGAAGGTAAAAAATGAAATTTAAATTAATAAAAATAAAACAATAAAAATCGCGACGTTTCGGAGGCGGAAGCTTGTGTTGCCTCCGAAACGTCGGGATTTTTATTGTTTTATTTTTATTAATTTTAATTTCATTTTTTACCTACGTGACTTTACCGAAAGAACAAAGAGTATGTCGCTCATTTCCCATCCGCGGAGGAGATTGCCGATGTCCCGTTGCGGTTGGCGGTCACGCCGGCCTCGGCGAGGAGCATTGCCGAAGGCGGGAGGTGTGCGATGTTTGAGTCTCGAGTGTAGAATCAATGCACGCAGTACGGAAGCATCTCGCGGAACAGTAGCGTCATCACAGGTCAAGCTTTCTCTAAAATCGCGTCTTCTTATTTTTTGTTTTATGCCGATCTAAGTTTCGAAAATTCTCCGTCGCCTCACGGGAGACCTCCGCACGGCACACGACGATCGTATCCCGAATCCCGACAGCTCTTGCCCCAAGAGTCTTTTGAAGGCTATACGTTGGTGGGGGGGGATCACCTTTGTCGTTTCTGGGGGGCAGTCGGGCCCGGTGACTCCCGGCGAACTGGACCGCGAGTACGCCGCGCTCGTTCAGCGCTCGGCCCAGCTGCTCGACGCGCTGCAGCGGCGCAAGAAGGAGGAGGAGGAGGCGGAGCGCCTGCGCGCCATCCAGGAGGAGATGGAGCACGAGCGGCAACGCCGAGAGCAGGAGGAACAGCGGCGCAAGCAGGAGGACGATGAGCGACGCCAGTAAGGGCACCGCACGGGGGTTATGCACGGGGGGGGGGGGGGGGGTAGCGCGGTGGGGATGCTAGTCGCCTAACAGCCGGATGTTTCCGGGTTCGTTTCCCAACTCGGGCGCCTCTCTTTCTCTCTGTGGAGTTTGTATGTACTCTCTTTCTCTGGCGAGATGTTAATTACCCCGAACCATGGTGGCAAGATGTAAACTGCCTCGCCTGGTATGCAGGAGGTCGTGGGTTCGAGCCCAACGCTGACGCCTGCTGCTGTATATTTGGAGTTTGCGTGATTCTCTCTCTCACGGTGGCTAGGAGATGTTAACTACCTCGCCTGGTATACAGGAGGACGTGGGTCCATGCCCTGACTCTGATGCCTGTATATATGGAGTTTGCATGTTCTCCCCGTGGTCGCGTGGATTTTTCTCCGGGTCCTCCGGTTTTTCTCTCCACATTTAGAATTACCACCACGCGTTTCAAGTATTTGGCTGCTATACATTTCAACACGATGATAAGCCACTTCGTTGGGCGATCATCGTGTGGTAACCAGGTCGCTTCTGATTTTAGAGCTACTTAGCTGAGTGGGCCCTTCCCTGGTCAAATTAAAAAAAAAGTCTAGTTCATAGTTTTAGTTTCTCTATCCCCCTGTTCTCCAGGTTCTCAGATTTTCACCTCCCACAGCTATGAAAACATTTGTTGTAACTCATACCGGGAAAACTAAAAAACATCCCGCTGCTGAAGCAATGGACCTCCAAGTCACGGCAGCGGCAAAAGCATCGCCAAACTCCCCTCCCTCCCCTGCGGACAACTTGGCAGGACCCTCTTTAAATTTAGTGACGAGTCTCATTGAGGCTTTACTGGGTAAACGAGCCGCCATAATGGATTAAAATATAAAACGTGGCAGTGTCGTACATCGCGCTACACCGCAATGCAGTGCGTCACAACGCAATTCATCGCAGGGTGATGATGATCAAGGCAGCGAGAGTGGGTTTGCGGTGGTTGTGATGGTCGTGATTGTTGCTACGGCAACAGCAACAACCACGTAATCGTGGTTGCAGCAATTGTGATCGTGGTGGCTGTTGTGTCGTCGCGCAGGAAGTCGGAGATGGAGTCTCAACGCAAGCGGGAGGAGGAGGAGAGGAAACGGCGAGAGAAGGAGGACAAACGCATGCAGGTGTCTCCATCGGCACAACCGCTCACAGTAGCAGCACGCCCACGTGTCCCTGTGTCTCCCTGTGTGTTACCTGCGTTCGTTCACCTGTGTTAAGCCGTGTGCCCTTGTGTCTCCGTGGTTCCCCGTGGCTCCCCCGTGGCTCCCCCGTGCCTCCCCCTTGGCTCCCCCGTGACGCCGCGAGCAGGAGGAGGTGCAGGCGGAGATGCTGGTGCACAAGGAGGAGGCGGCACGCACGCAGACCATCGTGGAGCAGGAGCGGCGCGACCGCGAGCTCGCCATGCGCATCGCACAGAGCGACGCCGAGCTCATCCCGGACGACAACGCCGGGGACAACAGCCTCAAGCGGTGACGGCACTCACCCCGCTCACCCTTCTCGCCTACGAATGCGCTCACCCGCTGACCTACGAATTTGCTCACCCACTCGCCCGCTCGCCAACAAATCCGCTCACCCGCTTGCCGACAAACCTGCTCGCATGCTTACCCGCGCGCCTACGAATCTGCTCACACGCTCACTCATGAATCTGTTCACCCGCTCACATGCTCACACGCTCACCCGCTCACCTACAAATCCACACACACTCACCCACACGCCTACAAATCCGCTCACACGCTCACGCTCACCCGCGCACCTGCTCACCTACGAACCCACTCACTCACCTACGAACCTGCTCACCTGCTTACTTATGAACCCATTCACCTGCTCACCCTCTCACCCTCTCACCTATGAACCCACTCGCCTACGAACCCAATCACCTCTTCACCTGCTCACCGTCTCACCTATGAACCCACTCACTTAATCACTCACTCCACAAACTCACGACCCCTGACCTCTAATCCATGATCCCCGACTCCTCTCCAACAATCTGACTTCTCACAGATGACCCTTGACCTCTCCCCCAGCCGGGGTCACAGGCTGACTGTGAACGCCCTCTACCCTGTCGCCCCCCCCCCTCCCCCCACCCCCCACTCACAGGGGGTTCCTGGTGCAGGCGCAGCAGGCAGCGCAGGTGGTGCGCAAGCACGACCTGAGCAAGTGGAAGTACGCGGACCTGCGTGACACCATCAACACGTCCTGCGGTGAGACGCCCACTCAAGTACACACTCACCCACGCGCACGCCCCGCTCGCACACGCTCACGCATACACGCTCGCACACACACACACGCAGTCGTAAACACACTCACCCACGCGCACGCACCGCTCGCACACGCACACACGCAGTCGTAAACACACTCACCCACGCGCACGCACCGCTCGCACACGCACACACGCAGTCGTAAACACACTCACCCACACGCATATATACACACGCACGCTCACACACACGCTCGCACACACACACCCGCTCACACACACACACGCATACACGCTCGCACACACACACACACACACCCACGCAGTCGTAAACACACTGACCCACGCGCACGCCCCGCTCGCACACGCACACACGCAGTCGTAAACACACTCACCCACGCGCACGCCCCGCTCGCACACACACACACGCAGTCGTAAACACACTCACCCACGCGCACGCCCCGCTCGCACACGCACACACGCAGTCGTAAACACACTCACCCACGCGCACGCCCCGCTCGCACACGCTCACGCATACACGCTCGCACACACACACACGCGCAGTCGTAAACACACTCACCCACACGCATATATACACACGCACGCTCACACACACTCGCTCACACACACACGCTCGCACACACACACCCGCTCACACACACACACGCATACACGCTCGCACACACACACACACACACCCACGCAGTCGTAAACACACTGACCCACGCGCACGCCCCGCTCGCACACGCACACACGCAGTCGTAAACACACTCACCCACGCGCACGCCCCGCTCGCACACGCACACACGCAGTCGTAAACACACTCACCCACGCGCACGCCCCGCTCGCACACACACACACGCAGTCGTAAACACACTCACCCACGCGCACGCCCCGCTCGCACACGCTCACGCATACACACTCGCACACACACACACGCAGTCGTAAACACACTCACCCACACCCCACACGCATATATACACACGCACGCTCACACACACTCGCTCACACACACACGCTCGCACACACACCCGCTCGCACACACACATACACGCTCGCACACACACACACGCAGTCGTAAACACACTCACCCACACGCACGTGCATATATACACACGCACGCTCACACACACTCGCTCACACACACACGCTCGCACACACACACCCGCTCACACACACACACGCATACACGCTCGCACACACACACACACACACCCACGCAGTCGTAAACACACTGACCCACACGCATATATACACACGCACGCTCACACATACACGCATACACGCTCGCACACACACACACGCAGTCGTAAACACACTCACCCACACCCCACACGCATATATACACACGCACGCTCACACACACTCGCTCACACACACACGCTCGCACACACACCCGCTCGCACACACACACGCATACACGCTCGCACACACACACGCTCACACACGCACGCTCGCACACACACACGCATACACGCTCGCACACACACACACGCTCACACACACACACGCATACACGCTCGCACACACACACACACCCACGGAGTCATAAACACACTCACCTACACGCATATATACACACGTACGCTCGCACACAAAGACAAAGATCTCCCATATAGCCTTAACAGACTGTCGGGTCAAGTGCTGTTAGGGAGCACCTATGAAGGCCGGAACGGTACAAGAGGGGGTGGGTGGCCAGCACCACGCCCGACCGCCTTTTTCTCCCTAGTGACGATGTTTACACACCACACCAGGTACTCATTTGAGGCTGAGTCGACCTAGGACCAGGACCGGTTCAGAGAATTGTCACTGGTGATGTCCGTGAGCGGGAATCGAACCCGGCTTGCCGTGTTTGTAGCACAGCGCGCTAACCGCTACACTACCGCTCACACATACACGCTCACTCATACACGCTCGCACACACATGCTCGCTCGCTCGCTCACACATGCTCACACACACACCCACGCACAGTCAGAAACACACTCACCCACGCACGCTCATACACGCATATACACACATTACACATGTATTCGCTCACACACACCCATTCATGCTCAAAGATCCCCTTTATAGCCTTTAACATACTGTTGGGCCAAATGCTGTTAGCGAGCACAGCACACGAGGGGGTGGGTGGCCAGCGCCACTCCTGACCGCCTTTGTCTCCCCAGTGGCGATGGTAAACACACCGCACGAGGTACACATTTGAGGCTGAGGCGACCTAGGGGAGGCCCAGGACCACGACATCACAAACACTCACCCACACTCTTACATGGCATGACACACACACACTCACTCACACTCGTTCACGCATCACACACATTCACCCACATTCATATACGACATCACACACACTCGCCTACACGCATGCACACATCACACACACTCACACAAGACATCACACACACTCACTCACACTTGTACACAACATCACACATCACACACACTCACACGAAACCACTCGCACACCCATACACAACAACAGCCGCCATTCACCTGTTCTGCATCACCCGCCCTGCCATCCCTGGTGAGTGACGCTTGCCTCCATTCGCGGTCCTCGGCCAGCGTTGGAAAGTCCACATTCCTTTGACGCCACGCAGCGGCGTGGATTCGACACCCCTCGTCGGGCTGCGCTGCTGCCACCGCCACCCGTCGCGACCTCACGTGCCACCCTCCCTCACCGCATGCCCATGTCTAACCCCCGCGCGTCTTACCCCCCCGTGTCCATCCCCCGCGCGTCTCACCCCCGTGTGTCTAACCCCCGCGTGTCTCTCCCCTGCATGTCTCACCCCGCGTGTCTTCCCCCACGTGTCTCACCCCACGTCTCACCCCCGCGTCTCCCCCCGTGTCTCCCCCCCGCGTGTCCTCCCCCGCGTGTCTCCCCCCGCGTGTCTCACTCCATGTGTCTCTCCCCCCGTGTGCTTCCACCCGTGTGTCTCACTCTGCGTGTCTCCCCCCGCGTGTCTCACTCCGTGTGTCTCTCCCCCCGCGTGCTTCCACCCGTGTGTCTCACTCTGCGTGTCTCCCCCCTTGTGTCTCCCCCCTTGTGTCTCCCCCCTTGTGTCTCCCCTTGTGTCTCCTCCCTTGTGTCTCCCCCTTTGTGCCTCCCCCCGCGTGTCTCCCCCCGCGTGTCTCACTCCGCGTGTCTCACTCCGCGTGTCTCCCCCCGCGTGTCTCCCCCGCGTGTCTCACCCCGCGTCTCACCCTCGCGTCTCACCCCCACGTCTCACCCCGTGTCTCCCCCCCTGCGCGTGTGCTTCTTAAGAGAGTGTGAAAAAGAAGGCCGGCGAATGTGAGTATCCGTTAGACGGCGTTTCGCTTACCCCGCCGCTCCGGCCTATCCACGTTGCACGCAACCGGCCCGAGCACTATTTGCCGATTTCCAAACCAGTACCGCCACCACTACCACCGCTACCACGACCGCTGAGACTCAACGACAACACCAACGGATTAAATTCTTGTCACCGCGGGAATCGCGGCGCAGAAGGAGGCTTTTGAGACTGGCGCCGAGTTGCCCACCCCTTGCCACTGCGACCAATCGATGAGTCAGTTTTTATTTTGCGTGCCAATATGGCCCTTGATCAAGTGGGAATCGGTGCACGTTACAACTGAACGGGACAGGGAGGAAACAGCAACGGGAAGACTGAGACCTGTCGTGCCCTCAGCGGCTAACGCCGACTGAGCAAAAAACGTAAATTGCGACCGCGCGCAAAAAATAAAGTGCAACGATGCGCAACTAATCGCATGAGAAAGTGAAGTAGAAATAAAAAATAATAAGTAAAAAAATTCACGGTAAGCGGCAGTTTTTTTTTCAGATGTTATGGGAAGAGGATTTTTGAATAGGTGAGCCTTGCACAGACCCCACGGCGTTGGGAGATTCGGCGCGTTTCAGATATCCGCAGGCAGGCAGGATGAGCTTGGGTTTCCAGATTGTTGGGGGCTGCGCTTGAGAAGGTTTTGTCCTCCGCCAGTGGCGACAACGACAATATCGCAAACGACAACTTTGTAGAATTTCTATCGCTGCTAAAGACAACCACATCTGAAGGCGCTTTTCAAACGTGGGAGGATTTAAAAAATATAAGAGAACTCGTTCCAGGTAGAAGGAGAGGCGGAGGATTAGGGGTCGGGGCAGGGATAACGCGAGGGATGGACAGAGAGAGGGAGAGAGAGCCCTGGGGTGCACCACCACCAAAGACAAAGATCCCCCCTATAGCCTGTAACAGACTGTTGGGGCAAGTGCTGTTAGCGAGCATCTTTGAAGGCCGGCACGGTACACGAAGGGGGTGGGTGGCAAGCGCCATGCCCGACCGCCTTTGTATCCCCAGTGGCGATGTTTACTACGCAACGTACCAGGTGCTCATTTGAGGCTGAGTCAACCTAGTGGAGGCCCAGCTACCGGGTTCAGATAATCATCACCGGTGTTGGCCGTGAGCGGGAATCGAACTCGGGGCGCCGGGCTTGTAGCTCAGCGTGCTAACCGCTACACTACCGCTCCCCTCTCCACACATGCTACACCACCACCATCGCAGCAGCACCACCACCAACAACAAAAACAACGAGCCACAGACCCATCCAGGGCAGCCAGGGCAGCACCAACAGTCCCAGGGCATCGTACGGAGTGGTGGAGTGGAGCCTCACAGCAAGTCGTAGTGGTGTTGCTTTCGTCTGCTTATTGCGTACGCTGCCAACTTATCACGCGAGCTCCGGTCATCTTTGCAGCGGCAGTGGCTTTCGGCTAGCCATTGGACAAACACCCTCACATATGTCCTCATCTTCTTTCTGCAATTTCTGAAATATATGGGGAGCAGTAGTGTAGCGGTTAGCGCATTGCGCTACGAACCCCGCTAATACGAGTTCGATTCCCGCTCACGGCCAACACCAGTGACGATTATCTGAACCGGTCCTGGGCCTCCCCTAGGTCTACTCATCTTCAAATGATTACCCTGGTGTGGTGTGAAAACATCGCCGCTGGGGAGATAAAGGCGGCAGGGCGTGGCGCCGGCCAC